AGACAGAGAGAGAGACAGACAGACAGACGGACGGACGGACACGACAAAAACTATACACCCAGAAAAAGGTAAGCCAAATTTAAGCTTGAAATTAGCATTATTTTACTAATATCTAAAAATTCCCAGACTCCCACTTTTTATTTCATTTTCTGAAAATATAAGATAACTTAAACCACTCTGCTTAAATTCAGAAAAATGACATTAATACTTTCAAATGATTTTATTAGAATACAATGTAATAACTTTTTGAGTGCAGAAAGGTCAAACAATTGACTAAGCGAATTAATATTTGAAACTACTTTTGTTGTCACAAATTTTAATGTGACTATTCAAGATGAAAAAAGACTGTGTTTGTTCCGATACTTCATGTGGATAAAAAAATATTAAAGGAAAAACTTATTTATTTATGAGTTAAAGTGCAAAAAGGTCATAACCAGAAGCGCTCTGTCCCCATGTTTTGTTATTTTTTTTTTTAATTAAGCTTAATGTGTGTAGATTCTAAAAATATACTTGACAAAAATTTCTCAATACTTTTGATGACAGGAGCCAACCTCCTTAACAAAATATCCGAAAAATTCTTTTCCGGACAATTTAGTATCGTTACCGTTTTTGATTTCAATAACTACATCCGGTGTAATCAATCGATGGAAAATGGCGAACGAGGTGGTAAATGCACCTAATAAAACATGGGAATTAAGTTTGTACGAACTCCACAGGACACCTCAAGAAGCAATAACAGACAATACAGAAATAGCAGTGTCGCCCAGAAGTTTACATAGTGAATTAATGTGCCCAATATGTCTAGATATGCTAAAAAATACGATGACCACAAAGGAGTGTTTACACCGCTTTTGTCAGGACTGCATAATAACTGCACTTCGCAGTGGCAACAAAGAATGCCCCACTGTTAAATGTAACTGCAAAAAACTTGTGTCAGGTTGGGCACACAGAGGTCTCTGAGACATATCCGTCTTTATAACCACCTAACTTTGACGCTAAAATTGATTTCTGAAGATTTATCCCAGCAAAATCGAGATGAGTAATGAAGCACATCATCGTGTTGCCAGCAACCGATCAATTATCTTCAAAAATTGCCAAACTTGGGTCAAAAACAAACAACACAGTGCTTTTATTTAACGTAAGCAATGGCTTTATTCTTTATAGCAGTGGTATATACCATACAACCAGGAATAATTGCAAATGTCACTTTGTAAATCTTTTATTCAAAAATATTTAATAAATATATAGATACAACATAGATATGCATACTAAACCACAATGTGTCACTGTTAAAAATTAAAATTAGAATATTATAGCACTTGCCCACCAACTGTCGATAATAAAGATACACTGTGTGCTTAAATATATATTTTACCGTATACACAACAAAATAATTTTTTGTATTGTTTATTAGTACGGCCGCCAGCTGTGGGTTTCGTTTTTACAAAGTTCCACAGAAATCCCACATGGAAAATTGACTAAATTGTTTTAACTGTGCGATGAATATGTTAATTAAAATTCCCCAATGCTTAAGTAAATGCGCTTTTGCTTTATTTCAATGAAAATTAGATTTGAATAAAAAAGACCACCATTTGGTAGGTAAAAAAGACGCCGATATGGGCGATTGACCACCGAACGGGGGTTAAATGACCATTTGGGGGTGTGTGCCCAACCTGATAAATGTTGTATTGGCCATTGGGCCCAGGATGTAGTTAAACTGAGACTGAGTATTTACAGGATATTTTCTCTGAATCCCTGCATTAATCTTTGTAACCCATCTTTGATCATCAGTTAATGATACTTTGATCTTTAACTTGATATCATAATATACTCTTATCCACACAATCTCGGAAAGATACATTGAGACTAAAAATTTTTCACTAATATCTCTTCTTAAGAGACATCAGTTCAAAATTTTAGTCTTGATGAATCTAGCTTAAATTATCATCCACTGGCTGTGAACAATCTATGTAAATTTGCAGAAGTTTTATGGGGTCACAGAACTAGTGGAATATTATTTACATGAGGGCCTCTGTAGATTTAGTGACACCTATGTACTTAGATTTGTGCTACATTTTTGTTCAAACAACAGATTTCATGACTGTGTGGTGTAGTCACATTAAATTATTTCATACTATTTTAGCATTGAAGAAGGATTGAGAGTCCAAGCTTTGAGCAGACCACAAAGGGTTAGAAAACATGCCACAGAGCCAGATCTGTCCCGCTTGGAAACTGCAAGTAATGCTTCCAGTGAAAACACACCTCTAAAGAGACCAAAGACATTGTCGGATGACTCTAGCGCTGAGAACTCTCTTGCAGAGGCAGCAACGGAACCCGCCCCCCTCCCAGAGCTACCCCAGCCAGTAGGGGACATAGAATTAATATTCAGACCCTTACCTTTGGAAAATGAATCTCCTGATGACTCTCAAATTCGTTATATAAAAACAACAGCCAATGCAACTGGTAATTTTCTTCTGTGATTGAAATTGAAACAAAATCAGTACATTCACTGCAAAATTAAATATAATCAATTACTCTTTAGACGTCTTTCACAAGTGATGACAATAATTTTATATTCATGCAGGATTATTCAGAGAATTTTTATTTTTCAGTGGACCATTTATCAAAGTACCTGGCAATAAGGCTATCATTGGAATCCAAAGTAGTTGATGCAGGTAATAGAGTGAAGGGTCGCTTAAACTTGTATCTATGAAAATATATTACACGTAACAGCTTTGTGGCTTTATGGCTATGAGCTCTGTATGGAAATGTAATTTTATAAAAATGATAATGAAGCATTGAAACAGCTTTGAATTTAGTTACTGTAAAAGAACAAATATTCAAGGGGGATTAAATTTCGTTGTTAACAACTATCAACGAAATTAAATCCCGCACAAAATTTTATATGACTATATATTGAATAGGATTACATACAAAACAACGAAATTAAATGCCAACAAAACTATTTTTTATGACAAATCAACAAAATTTTATCCCCACGAAAATATGTGCTTCTACAGTAATTTATATTTATACAACTTACAGTTAGCATTGAAAGTCAAAATATTTTGGTCTCCCATGTAGTACTATATTTAGATCTGTGTTCAAAGTACAATTTATAATCTTATTGATAGATTTCATGTACATAAATGTTTATATATGTGAGTTGATTTCACTGGGTGATTGTCATAGCGTTTGGGAAGATGATTACGGCTTTAGCCTTAGATCGGAATCAGTTCAAGGAGTTGCAAGTATTAAAGCCAATAAAGGTTAAAGTCTTGTCTCCATTGGAAGCATTTGAATTTTACAATTTTTGTCTTTTTCTAGCCAAGCATGTAAATAGTTATTACGTTAAAACAGCAGTTGCTGCATATTAAGAAGAACTTGACTTTTCTCTTTTACAGGAACAAGTTCATCAAGTGGAGAGAGTAAATACACAATTTACATTGCAAGTAACCCTGGCAACTACACAGCTCTCAGTGGTGCTATGACCTTGGAGCAGGTCAACGACAAATACTGGCGAATCAACAAGCCATTGGAAATGTTTTATGCAGTACAAAAGAAAATAGACTCACCAAAGAAAGCAGAAAAAGTTGAAAAATCAGAAAAATAACTTGCATTTCTAAAATCATTTCATGTAATTCATAATCAGTGTTGACTTTTCTTGAGCATATTGCCATAAAGCATTCATTTAGTTTCCTCTTGTCATGTACAGGCAACTTACTCTGTTGGAAATATGAACTTATGGAATACAGCGGTGTCAATGTATTAGTTTGCATGAATTTTGTTAAATATTAGTTATAAATGGCTTAGCAATTATAGATTTTTTTAGTGATACATATAATATGCTTTAAATTTTGTCACTGTATATTATTTTTTTTTTTTTGTCATCCTGTCATGAAAGCTTTTTTAAAATTAATTAAGATAAGTTTTGTTATATATATATATATAAATATTTTTTATATTAATGTTGAAAGAATTTTTCAATTCTTAAATTTGATTAGCTAAAATCCCTTGATTTTCTTTTAATTGAATAGGTCTGTTCCCACACCTTTTGTCAACTCCATGATGCCTCCTGCTTCAATTACAGGGGCATGTTAATCGCTCTTTTCTCTATTTTTTAAATGTGTAACAGAGTGAATAAGATGCCCATGTGCTTTAATACTGTATAAGTAGAATTTTTAGCGAGGATTTAATTTTGGCATTATAAGCAAGGGTGCTGCCATTAATAAAATTGAATTTCGCTAAAAATTAATTGCGTATTATTTGTAATGCCTTCTTTATTTAGCATTGTAAAATTACTTCTCGCTAAAAATAAATTATCAATTCTTAGGTAGAAATCGCTAAATATGCGTCTCGCTAAAATTTCCACTTATACAGTATTGCAATGCCTTTCTTCTTCTTTTTTTTTTCCTTTTCATATTTGGTTACTGTTTGATTGGTGAAAAAATGTATTAATATTGAGATGTGAAAAAGATTGTTTTATCTCCTTGATGAATGAGTAGCAGCATTTCTGTACATGACCAACCCATGACATTCATTGATACAAACTGAACAACACTCAAATATTGTAGTTCACATGCATTGAATGCATGATTGGTTTTACATCATGCATGTAATATATGCAGTGAATAAAAATATTGCATAATGTAAAAATTAAATGTATGCATTTAATAAATCCACAAACTAATAACATTTAGTTGTTATTGATTTAATTTTTGTAAACAATGTATTACAATTTGTAAGTTAACTGACAAAATGTTTTGTTGGAAAACTGGGTGAAAAATGTTCATCACACACAAAAAAATTAAGGCCAGATAAATTCAAATTCACATTTATTTTTTTTTAAGAGGACAAAAATTGTTTACATTGCTTATGGGGAATGTCAAAATGTACACAAATACACTGTACAACGGATGTGTCTCAACTGTGGTTATGTTTTTCCGGATTTGCGTCGTTTCCAGTTTGTGTTTACATCCACATAATACTTATATTGTCTTCAATCACAGAAGAGTTTTGGTAAACAAAAATATACTTCGGACTTCCCGGTTTTACTTCAAACACGATAATTTATGTATGAAAGGAGTGATTACCTAAATTGAACAATGTAAGGAATTTTTGACACAATTATTTGTTAAATCGACATTGTGATATGGCGGGTTTGTTACCCGAAGACGACGCAGAGCCCATTCTTTTGGTGAACAAACTGACCCCTCATTTCTTGTGTCCAGTATGTGAACAGTTGTACAAAAATCCGGTCATTAACATTAAATGTGGACACACGTTTTGTAAGAGATGTGCGAGTGGCTGTTCCAGGTGTCCTGTGGACAATGAGCCGTGCGATGCAAGTCAACTGATTTTAAACAGGTGAAATTTATATTGTGTAGGCTTGAAAATATCAGTTTAATTAAAAAAAAAACAAAAAAACAAAAACAAATCATGTACTGTACTATTACTTAGAAGAAATATTAGTTTAAAAATTTCAGAACTCAACCTTATCAATATTATAGTGTTTAAAATATTATCTATAGATTGTTATTGAACTGTTAAAATGATTAAAACTTAATTCATACCAAATCTTTTTGGGAAATACCAACTACGGGAATTCCCAATAGATAAGGTAAATTCGACCTGTAAATATTCCAGACGCATACCTGTGCACTAGTATATAAGTAGGAAATATAAGTGGAATATCTCAAAATGTATAATTTTTTATGTTTTTAAAAATTGAAAAATAATTCATTAGTTGTATATCTTATAAATGTAATAACAATCAAGGACCAGTTAGCAGTTTTAAATGGTTGCCCACAAGATAAAAATATTAACATGATGAACCATTATCAATAAACAAAATGAAATAAATTATACATTTACTGATATGATAGATTGTGTTATTTTACAGACTTGTTGTTGGTCAAATTGATGAACTCCTGATTTATTGCAAATATGGCATTCGAAAACAAAATGGAACATGGGTTCATGACCCTACAGGCTGCCAAGAACAGATAATAATTGGTAATATCTCAAAAAATTATGATTGTGTAAAATAATTTAAGAGAATATAATGTACATTCATCAAAGTGATACTCTATAGATCTCTAAAGCAATTTGTAAAGTGTATACATTACCATTTTTGTGTTAATTGGATAATGTATGTAAATCTTTATGCATGTTTTGGCTTCATCTTCACTAGCCAAGGGTTTTCGGGTGCGGACCAAAAACCCTTGGCTAGCGAAGATGGTTTTAACTTCTGAATGCAATTTCTAGGAAATCGACATGAACATGAGGACCAATGTACATTTGCTCCCAAACCTTGCCCTAATGATGTACAAAACTGTGGCACATTCAGGGCCTCAGAACTTGAGCAACACTTACAGACCTGTCCATACTTTGAATGTGATCATAAAGACAAAGGTTAGTAGAAAATTCTGTTTTCAGCAAGTTTAAAATTGAAAGATAAGAACATTTCTTAGTGAGATGCATGTACATGTACTTATAATTTCAATTCTTACTTCAGATGGCATTCATAATAATGCCAAATAAACATATGAAAGATTATTGTGATTTGGTGAATTTCTTTCTAATTGTAGGATGTGTATTTCATGGGAGACAAGATGAAGTTAGAGACCACTTAGGAACCTGTGGATACAGAGGATTGCCTAACAGCATCAGCCAGAGAGATTTTCAAGACCAGGTTAGCATCAGCCAGATAAAGAATTTATCTCAGGGATTTTGATCAACTGCTCCCAGTATACTGTAGAATCACAAATTTTCGTTGGGATAAAATTTTGTTGATTCGTCATCAAAAATAGTTTCGTTGGCATCTAATTTCGTTGTTTTGAAAGTAACCCTATTCAATATATACATGTAGTCATATAAAATTTCATGTTTGATTTATTTTCATTGATAATTGTTAACAACTAAATAAAGGAAATTTAATTCCCCATGAATGTTTGTGCATTTACAGTACTCATTTACAAACCTGATGTAATCTTTGAAAAAAAAATGTGCATAAGAATTTTGAAAATGTAGTTTTTTTAAAATATTAATTTATTTTCAATTAAATTTTAAGGAGAAATCCTATGCAATACAAAAATTATTATACACTTCAATTTTTGATTAAATTTTAACCTCAAAAAATTATTTTAAGACTAAAATGTACTTCGCATGTTTTTCAGACTAAAGCACTAGAGGCTGAGAATAAATGTTTGAGAGACAGACTTGACAGCCTGACAAAACGAGTGGAGGTGTTAGAAGGAAACAAAAATTCACTGGAATTTACACTGGAGACATGTTTAAGGTTTACGATTTTTCCCCCACAATATCACGATAATATCATGATATTTTTAAAAGCAGTTTTTACAATTATTTTATATGAAAAGTCATTATTTTTCTAAAAAATATGCTAGCAAAACAAAATTTTACTTTTTTGAAATTTTTATGTATTTAAAATCAATTATGTTTGGACTGTAAGATTTTTTTTTTCAATTTTTACAACATTTTTTATACTTTCTGTGTAATTTGAAAGATTGAACAAATAAATGAATAATTTGTGGACTTTATAATATGTACCTAAAGACTGGTATTTAGGTCTCTGTATCACGATACCTATCACGCAACAAAAAATCGCGATATACCGCTATACCGATAAATCACACATCCCTATGAATAACACTTATAGTTGATTTAGATATCTTATCTTACTTGAAAATTAATTCATCTGATGAAGTCTACTCAAATTTATTTTTGCAGCAATTATCAGAATTTAAACAAGAAGCATGAAGCCCTTCAGACTTTAGTGGAACAGTTAATGAGCTCGCGTAATCGGCGCTCTATGTCATCCCCAGGAAACTCGGCTGAGGCAATTAGACAGAGAACTAGCAGCACCAGTAGCTTCTCAAGTAAGGCTTCCTTTGTTTTAGAGGCAAAAAATGTTTCATTCATAAATGGAATTAATTATACTCTGCAGAAGCCATAGCAATGATAGTGTTGTAAGATCATTGTTAAAGAATTTTCATAAATTCAGATAAGAAAGCAGCAATTTCCTTGTCTTTTAAATTTACTTTCCACAAATTGAAGGATATTTGGAATCTTTTATTGATTATGTTAAAAATAACTGTATTTTTTATGGCTTTTATTGAAATATATTCATGCATATGATTTGATCTTAAACACATACCATCTGTATCCTTAAGCTTATTATACAATTACAATCTTAAATGATAGTTAACTAAACCATAGAATTACATTGACCGTAAGTGAATTAAACAATACATTTTATTAATCTAAATATTGATAACTTTCAAAAATTAATGAAAATGGTTAATTAACATGTAACAATTTAAAGGTCTACTCTCTGGATATGGTGGTAATATATTCATGTACACATAAACTTTTCTCTGCTTTTTTTAAAATCATTAATGAATAAAACTTCTTGTATGAAAAAGCATGTTTTCTTATTAAGATACATTTATACTAAATTTGAACTTCAGCTTTCAAAATATTTCTTCTATATTCATTATGCTGATATAATCACTAGGGATCACATGATGTCATATTTAGATCAACAAATTTTCCATATTACGGTATTATGTAAAAAAGTCTTATGGTTTTTTTTTTAAAACATTGACTTAGAAATAAACATTTTGAGTGTTAGTCATTACTATGTATTTTAACTTAAGATTGGAATTTTTTCCGGAAGTTGGTCACATATAATTATGCCAAAATGAAGCTCTCTAGGGATCACATGATGTCATATTTAGATCAACAAATTTTCTTGGCATTTTATTATGTAAAAAGTCACATGTTTTTTTTTTAAACATTGACTAAGAAAAAAACATTTTGAGTGTTAGTCATTACTATGTATTTCAACTAAAAAAATTTTCTTTAAACTTGAGTTTGGAATTTTTTCCAGAAGTTGGTCACATATAATTATGCCAAGATGAAGTTCTCTACATATTAGATTAAAGAATGAGAAGAGAATTTTAAAAAATTAAAAATGTAAAAAATATTAAGTCGATATTTTGGTGTTTGGGAAGATAAAAAGCAACAGGCCTGAGAGCTCATGACAATTTTTGCATCAAGGCATGGTAGCTCGTGGAAATTATTACATGCTCCATGGTTACTTATTACATTTTAAAACACAAGAAGTCTAGACACAATTATTTCTTTAATACTACTGAGTCCATATCGCATATACTAATGCTCACATTTTAATATAAATTGTATGAAAGAATTATTTATTAAGACACTTCTTTTCTGTCTATATAGCATTCTGATGTTAAATAATAGACTACATAAACTTGACATATGAATTCTTTAAGATAAAAGGTGGCAGATAGTAAAGTAGGTTCCTAGTATAAATATGTAGATGAGATAAAAATCTAAACTGGAATATTAAATTGTGTACTTAATAAGGTTAATAAGGAGCCTGTTTAATTTCAAAAACATTTTTCTTGATAACTAAATATAGATTTGTATAAATTGATAAATATGTTCTATAATGAGTCTGTTAACAGATTTTCCATTTTGTATCTTTTTATTTCAAAAACAATCATAATTACTTTGAGAGTCTCTCTGAATTTTAATGTTATTATTAAGGAAAAGTAGGCATATGCATGCAAATTAATCATTTTATTTGTATAAAAAGTTTTTTTTTAATTTGATGTATACATGTAAAACACTTAACTTTGGTCTTTTTTTAAACATTTATAGGTCCAAAGCTAAGCCCTCCAGCAAATTTAAGACCAGAAACCTGGAAAATGCCTTTCCAATTCAAATGTATTGGATCCCTCAGGTAGGAAGTATGAAATATAGAATATAGAAAAAGTCGTTTGAAAAATAGATTTTAATTCACCAAAACCAGAAAGCCCAAGTTTTCTTTCTTTATCCCAAACATTTATGACTGTTTTCTATAAATATTTTATTCAACTTTCTTTGTTCATGATGTTTATAAAAATGTTTTAGACAACTAAATAAGTTTCACTTAAAATTGGCAAAAAACATGCATGCTTTAAGTTTCTGAGACTTACTAGGAAGTCATGATGATATTTTAACGGTGCAATCACCAAAAAAATAATTTCCTGCCCAGATACATTTGGTAATAAATATCATCCCTCATTATCTGAATCCACTTGGACTAAGAAATAGATATCTAATGATTCAAGATATTGTGGTTAGTTAAGTACTTAAAGGAAAGGATTGCACAGTTCCTCCCTAATTGACCCTAAATAACTTTTTGAAATAGAAAAGAAGTGTGTTTTTGGTGATTGTTTTGGACTTACTTATAAACTAGACATAAAAGTACATTGTACAATGTACAATGTACTTTTAAAAATTGAAGAAATAATGATTTTGATATATGTCCAAAGATAAAAGATTGAAATTTGCTTAAATTCATGCAGACTGTGAATGCTTTATTTTTAGAGGCCACAAAAAGGAAGTTTGGTGCCTGGCTCTGTATAAACAGAGACTGTACAGTTCTGGAGGGGATAGTTTGATTAAAGTCTGGGACCTAGATGTTGTCACCAATGGCTGTATCAAAACTATGGAGGGTCATTCTGGAGTGGTGAGTAGTAGGCAGAGAGATGTTTAGGTCAAGGATTTGAATTTCTATCAATTACATGATTTATGGAAAATGTTTGGAAAATGTTTGGTAGGAGAGTTTATTTCTTCCCCATCATACATGTATATTATGACTTTGACTTACAGTACTGTACTTTGACAGGTTCACACTATGGCCATCTATGAGAACACACTGGTATCAGGGGGAGACGACCTATCTATCAGAGTGTGGAATCTGGATTCTAACACACAGGAAAACTGTGTCTTTGTAAGTCAAACTTTCTCAACTAGATATCATATTGCTTTCCATATATGATCCTGGAACAAATGGAATGTTGACTGAAGTCTCTTCATTGTGTGCAATGGAGTTCTAAGATTTCACTTTCTGCTGGGGGAACTTGCATACATGCATGCTGTAACATAATTGCTTCTTGGGTGGTAAATATGTCTAATTGATTTTCTTATAACCTGACTTTAAGTTTATCACTATATTATATTTCAGAATGCTCATGATAATCTGATCAGTTCCATGGTAGTTGTTGGAGACAACCTTTTTACTGCTTCTTACTCACTAATAAAGGTAAGGGAAAAAAGTCAAATCTTTGATAAAAATTGAAAAATTTATCAATTTAAATTTCTATATTCTGCAGATATATTAACATGAAGCTATACATAACTTTTTAGCTCACCTGAGCCGAAGGCTCAAGTGAGCTTTTCTGATCACATTTTGTCCGTCGTCCGTCCGTCTGTAAACTTTTTACATTTTCGACTTCTTCTCAAGAACCAATGGGCCAATTTTAACCAAACTTGGTACAAAGCATCCTTGGGTGAAGGGGAGTTTAAATTGTTAAAATGAAGGGCCAAGTCCCCTTACAAGGGGAGATAATCAAGAAAAGACAAAAATAGGGTGGGGTCACTAAAAAATCTTCTTCTCAAGAACCACTGGGCCAGGAAAGCTGAAACTTATGTGGAAGCATCCTTGGGTAGTGTAGATATTAAATTATTAAAATCATGACCCCCGGGGGTAGGGCGGGGCCATAATAGGGAATCCAAGTTTTGCATAGAAATATATAGAACAAATCTTTAAAAATCTTCTTCTCAAGAACCACTGGGCCAGGGAAGCTGAAACTTATGTGGAAGCATCCTTGGGTAGTGTAGATATTAAATTGTTAAAATCATGACCCCAGGGGGTAGGGCGGGGCCACAATAGGGAATCCAAGTTTTGCATAGAAATATATAGAACAAATCTTTAAAAATCTTCTTCTTGGAAACCACTGGGCCAGGGAAGCTGAAACTTATATGGAAGCATCCTTGGGTAGTGTAGATATTAAATTATTAAAATCATGACCCCCGGGGGTAGGGTGGGGCCACAATAGGGAATCCAAGTTTTGCATAGAAATATATAGAACAAATCTTTAAAAATCTTCTTCTCAAGAACCACTGGGCCAGGGAAGCTGAAACTTATGTGGAAGCATCCTTGGGTAGTGTAGATATGAAATTGTTAAAATCATGACCCCCTGGGGTAGGGCGGGGCCACAATAGGGAATCCAAGTTTTGCATAGAAATATATAGAACAAATCTTTAAAAATCTTCTTCTTAGAAACCACTGGGCCAGGGAAGCTGAAACTTATATGGAAGCATCCTTGGGTAGTGTAGATATTAAATTGTTAAAGTCATGACCCCCGGGGGTAGGGTGGGGCCACAATAGGGATTCCAAGTTTTACATAGAAATATATAGAACAAATCTTTAAAAATCTTCTTCTCAAGAACCACTGGGCCAGGGAAGCTGAAACTTATGTGGAAGCATCCTTGGGTAGTGTAGATATTAAATTCTTAAAATAGTGACCCCCGGGGGGTAGGTTGGGGCCACAATAGGGAATCCAAGTTTTGCATAGAAATATATAGAACAAATCTTTAAAAATCTTCTTCTTGGAAACCACTGGGCCAGGAAAGCTGAAACTTATATGGGAGCATCCTTGGGTAGTGTAGATATTAAATTGTTAAAATCATGACCCCCGGGGGTGGGGCGGGGCCACAATAGGAAATCCAAGTTTTACATAGAAATATATAGAACAAATCTTTAAAAATCTTCTTTTCAAGAACCACTGGGCCAGGAAAGCTGAAACTTATGTGGGAGCATCCTTGGGTAGTGTAGATTATAAATTGTTAAAATCATGACCCCCAGGGGTAGGGTGGGGCCACAATAGGGAATCCAATTTTTGCATAGAAATATATAGAACAAATCTTTAAAAATCTTCTTCTCAAGAACCACTGGGCCAGGGAAGCTGAAACTTATGTGGGAGCATCCTTGGGTAGTGTAGATATTAAATTGAAAAAATCATGACCCCAGGGGGTAGGATGGGGCCACAATAGGGAATCCAAGTTTTACATAGAAATATATAGAACAAATCTTTAAAAATCTTCTTCTCAAGAACCACTGGGCCAGGAAAGCTGAAACTTATATGGAAGCATCCTCTGGTAGTGTAGATATTAAATTGTTAAAATCATGACCCCCGGGGGTAGGGCGGGGACACAATAGGGAATCCAAGTTTTACATAAGAATATATATAAAAAATCTTTAAAAATCTTCTTCTCAAGAACCACTGGGCCAGGAAAGCTGAAACTTATATGGAAGCATCCCTGGGTAGTGTAGATATTAAATTGTTAAAATCATGACCCCCGGGGGTAGGGCGGGGCCACAATAGGGAATTCCAAGTTTTACATAGAAAAATATAAAACAAATCTTTAAAAATCTTCTTCTTGGAAACCACTGGGCCAGGAAAGCTGAAACTTATGTGGAAGCATCCTTGGGTAGTGTAGATTCTAAAGTTTTCAAATAAAAAAAGGGAACGGGGTTGTTGGGCATGATAGGTATAGCAAGAGGGGGAATCTGGTAAAAATCTGCATCACCCAAGTTACTCAGGTGAGCGATGTGGCCCATGGGCCTCTTGTTTTTTATCCTTTTTGACGTGCATTTTGTAGGTTTGGGATATGAAGACCCTGTCTTTAATTCACACAATATCTGGATTACACCACTGGGTCAGAGCTTTAGTAGTTAGTCAAGACAAGGTAAGTTATACACTAAGTGTAACAGTTTGATTTTATTTCAGACAATTTTGAGTTAATAATTAAGACAAAGGCATTTTTTAGTTAATACATGTATTTATACTTACTACTTAACCCTCGTAAAATTGTACACTAAAAGATTATTCAGTTTAAAATACATGTCATTGTGTTGTCACAAAAAACTGTTTCAATTCAATTTTTTGATGTAAAATGTTGGCATACAGTCAAGAAAACAAGTCAAATGACATGTAGCAGAAAACTTAATTTACATTTACATAATCAAAACAGCATATTTTTTAGGAATGTTTATACAGTGGATGTCACAATACCATTGACATTTGGAACACTTCAGGGTCTTTCCAGCATAAAGGGAACATTTCTCACAACTATGGGTCAATTTACTCTCTTGCAATCACGCATGAATTTGTCATTGCAGGTACATATAAAAATTTAAATTTCAAAACAGCAAATCATCAAGTGAAGTACATTTATGTCAATAATGAGGCAAGAATTTGTAATTGGTAAATATTTACAGCCATATTAAGAGTCATTCTCTGTAAGCATCAAAATGGGCTGGAAATTGAAAATCACGGATTTTGCTGAAACTTGGTGAAATAATTACATTATAAGCCCTATTTACAAAAATATTAATAAAAGTGATCAATTGGTCTTGTTTCCATGGCAACCAGGTTACCTGTTTTTGTACATAGGTGGTAAATACCTAAAATGATATTTCTTCCCATTAATGTACATTTAATTAAATAAAGGTGATTATTATTATTTTTTCCTTTGAAATAATTTGTAATTTGTATTTTCTATACAAAAAAACTTGAAAAAAATTTTTGGACCTGCCGTTAAATGCCAAATAACATAAAAAATTGCCTTAAAAAGGGGGGGTTGAACATAACAATGTACACGAAAAATGCAGGCACTGGTGGAATATTCTGATGCTCTAAATTTCACTTTATACAATTATGAAGAACATATGAAAAAACTGGAGAGGTAATATTTACTTTAAGAAAATAAATTGATTGTAAAGTTTGTAAAAATCTCTAAATTTACACACATTTTTGTCAAGAGTTATTTCCCTTTTCGGAAATCTTTTGCTTTAATCGATGAAAATGAAAGTAAAAGTACACAGCAGAAAGCAACTTTGAGGAGTAAATACTGTGTGTTTTGGATATTTTCAGGGGTTTTAATCCAACTTGTGAAGTATTTAACATTACCCATAGTTAATTGATTGTTCAGGCTTTACTGTGTCTGAGAGATATACATGTTTGTGTATACATAGGCGTAGTCACAGGGGGGGGGCAGCGGGGGCACTAGCCCCCCCACTTTCAGATGTGGGGGGGCAAGAGTATGTCTGTGCCCCCCCACTTTTTAAAAGAAGAACAAAATCACAGCTATTTTCCCCAACATTACCTTTACTATAGGAAATATTCATTGAATGGATTTCAAAGTAACTTGCCTTTGAAAAAGTTGGCCTGTAAGTACTAATGAAATATTGACTACGAACATTGAAAGTTGCACATATTTTGTATGAGTTTATTAATAATAGGGCATGACTATTTATTATTAAAATAACTTTAAAGTACCCAAAGCATAAATAATGACATGATTCTAATTATATCATTAACAGTTTAGGCATATTTAATTATCAATCTTATTAAAATCAGATGTGAATGAAAATTATATAAACCATCTGTCAGGCCATCCTTTAAAAATTGTTTGTTTTGAATTGCCGCCTGATGGGTTTCAGACACAGGAGGGAGGGAAAATATTTTTTTTATTGAAGGTAAATTGTAAATTTTTGATAATAATCTCAGTAAACAGTCAATACATTTTCTGATTTTTAAAAAAAAGTATCTACAATCAACTAAAATAACCTAATTTTACATACATGTAGATCTGAAACAATCTTTCAGTGTTTTGTATGGTGTATGTGATACATGTAATGCCCCCCCCCAAATAAATGATTTAATAAAAAAAAAACTTCCTACTTTTGGTCAATAAAATTATATACACTTTACTGAAACCGTGTATAATGAAGCAATATGTAATGAAGACACGTACATGCAGAAATTGGGGATTTGTAAAAGTGGTCATTGTTGAAATCATAGATTTATGTGCCCAAATTACAGCTGAGGAAAAAAAATATTATACTTGATTTTGTCATATTTTAGAAGACATCTCAGTATTCCATTTATCACAGACTTTATGTTCTGGAAAATATTTTTAGAAGCTTTCCAAAAAACTGAGTAGTGTTAGATAAAAAAAAAGTTATTTAACTTGAAAAAAATATTAATGCAAATAAATCAAGCCCCCCTTTTTTAAAATATTGGAGGAGGATCTGGTAACATTTTATTGCCCCCCCCCCTCACTTAACTCCTCCTCCCCCCTCCAGAAATCTATTTCAGATAATTATATTTTTCTCAATTTGAGTCAAAATGAGGTTCTCTGTTTAATGTTGATTGAATTTCAAAAGCTTATAGGGAGTTCACTCCCAGGGGCATAGCCCCTACGGACAGTGTTTTGGACCTAATAAGAGCAGTGGTGGTTTGTAATTATATGCTCTCCATCTGCATAATTGCACATTCCCTAATACTTATTTTAACCCTTTGCCTTTATGAGGAAGAACAAAATCATAAATTTTTAAAATACATTCTGAGTTTTGAGTGTCATTCCTAATGTGTATGAAAGACACTTATCTCTGCTGGGAAAACTTCAACGAATTGTTTTAGTCCCCTACCGGTGAAATCGGAGGGGACTATAGGTTTCCTCTGCATCTGTCCGTCCGTCTGTATACCTGTCCGTTCGTCTGTCTGTCCCCGTCTGTCTGCCAGTCTGTCCCACTTGGTTTTCCGCACTTTTTTTTCTAAACGCTTGCATCTATTGAGCTGAATTTTGGTATGTGGTTGCAGGCGCGGATCCAAAAATTTTTTCCAAGGGGGGGGGGGGGTCCACCCAGTCAAATTAAAATTCCAATCCCAGAAATTTCTTGACAAGCAAAAAAAAAGCAAAAAAAAACAAACTTAACTGGACAAACGTGAAAAACCTATTTCGTGGGGGGTTGGAGGGGGTTGGGGGGGGGGGTGGTCGGTGGGCTTCTGTTGGGTCCAATCTTTCACTCTTCATACCCATTTTACACATATTCATGTTCACCAGGGGGGTCCAAGGTGACTTTTTTTCTTGCTTTAGTATATACATTTTTTAACCATGTAAATTCCAGGGGGGGGGGGGTCCTGACCCCCCCCTCTAGATCCGCGCATGGGTTGTATCTTGATGAGTTACACATCAAGTTTCAATTTTGAATTTTGCATCGCTTCATTGGTTTTTGACAGAATAATGGTATTTTGAATTTTTCACATTCGTTTAATTGAGATCATGCTGCGCTAACTTCCGATGGTCGACATAAATAAGAAGCAAGAAAAAGACGTTGGAAAAATGAGTTGAATTTTCGTCTAAATATGGATTATTTTATCCACAACCTCAAACTCAAGCAGTTTTACCTTGGACATAACTTTTGCATATTATTAAATGACATCCTGAAGAAAAACTCAGTTTCGAAAAAGGGAACCCGGTAGGGGACATGTATTGCTTATGCAATACTCTCAGAATGCTTGTTTATGTATGGTACGGACAGACAGTGTCTGACACGCGGATAAACAGGAAGTTGACATCAGATTTAACCTCAAGTGTTACCCACCATGCATATGGCATGCCTTAGCAAACACTGTGCTAAAATTTCAAGCATCTTCAATTAATAGCTGATCGAGTTCCTGAGAAAACTGCAACCAAACACTTGCTACAAAAACACACACAGGCAGACAGACAGACAAACGGTCTGACACACAAAGGTAAATCAGTATACCGCCCTCTCCTTCGTAGCGGTGGTATAATAATTCCTTACGAAAGGAACAGCAAAATATCATCTGAACAACATAAAAAACAATTTGAATCGAGGAGGGGGGGGGGGCACTCTTGACTATGTGCTTGTCCTACTTAAACTAAGAAGTGCATGTACAGGTTAAAACGTGTATATAAACTATATATGTTTCAATTAATAAAACAAGTTGCTTCCAAAAGATCGGTCATGATTTTATGTAGGTATTTATTGTTTGAATGGAAACAAATCCTGCTGCAGTAATTCAGATATATGTGATCAGTTTAAGTTTGAGTTCATCTTTTTTTTTTGTCCCGGTAAATAAATTAGACTGAAGTATAATCAAACACTGGTGGCAGTTTTATGAGTTTTGTATACTGGTACATCAATAATTATTTGGATTATTCCTGAATTATTTGGTTACCATAACAACTGTTTTTTTTTAATAAAATTATGAATGTCTATTTTCATGTTAGTGAAATGACATTCTAAGGTTTACATTGTTTTGTGGAATTTATTTCATTGAGGAAGAAATATAATATGGCAAATAAAGCAGTAGATTTTGTATATTAAACATATCAACGATAAGGATTTTCCTGAACTATTGGCTGCCATAGCAACCATTTTTAAAATAAATTATGAATTACTATTTTTATATTTAGTAAAATACAATTAAATTCAATTTATTTTATTGAAAAAGAGAAAAAAATCACGAAGGAAGCTTTTATAATATCGTTGTATACTTGTCAGTATCACAATATTTGTGAGAGCAACCATTATAAGGAAGTGTTCAAAAACTATTTGGTTACCATAGCAACGTGATTTGGGACGCCTAAATTTTTATTTATTACTTTTATTTTTTAATGTACACAAGTGAAATAACAAATATGGTAAGTGTTATCTATTGTTTGAAGAAATTATTAAATAATGCACTGAGGACACAGATTCTGCATAATGAAAACGGCAATAGCTACAGTGATTTTTCCTGACGTTTTGGTTGCTATAGTAACACATTATTTTTGTTTAATTTATGAACTTGCATTTTTATCATTTTATTTTGAAGTTATGAGGTTTAGTAGTGTGATTTGTTTTACTCTTGATTTTTTTTTAAAGCTATAATGTACAAAAAGGAGCCGAATGTTGAATCTACAAATTAATCCAAAATCTCCATAGCAACCATTTTCATTTTCGTTTTATTTTATTTTAAGAAATATTACCACTCTAGAAATTTTATATTTTCATGAGTAAGGAATGAACTTTCCAGTGATGGTAGTTGTTTTTTATGGATTGCCCGCATTTTCTTGCTACTACGCTTAGAAAATGCCAAAAATTGACATTTTTTCAAATTTGTTAAAATTTGAAAAATTCACACTTTTCACTGAAAGACAACTCTTTTATGACCAATTATTGAATAATTTCATCAGTTGTGGTAGTTACTACAACACATATTCTATCAGAGTAGGCAACAATTAAATCTGTAAATAAAACGCAGAAAATAGAATTTTATGATGAAGATTGCATACTTTCAGTAGGTTGCTCTGTATTTTTGGCCTCAAAATGGTGGTTTTGGTTACCATGGCAACCGGGACTCAAAATAAAAAATTAACCCCAAAAATGTTCTATACATGGTGTTTCTACATTGCATGCAAAAAATCAGCAAAATCTGTGATGTACCATTTCCAACTTTTTTCTAAATTCTTTGATTCTTACAGAGAATGACTCTTAAACAGTATAACAATTCTTAAAAAAATTAAAAGCACCATTTGTTGATATTTTCAGTTAGTAATTTTTTCTTTTTTATAGGTACATACAACAGAAATATACAGGTGTTTAGTTTGTCAAATAATCATCATGTCTCCTCTCTCAGGGGTCATATTGGGGTCGTGAACTCTTTGACTGTGACCCCATCAGGTCGTTTTCTATTTTCGTCTTCCAGTGACCAAACAATAATGGTAAAATTTTAGGTTTTTTAAAAATTTTTAATTTTGGAGTGTATATACATGTACATATATACTTTGTACAGTGTAATTATTCAGTAAATATGAACATTATTTTTAACACTTTCAAATGTTTGACGGGTATCCTGGTCTTGACAAAATTATTAATCTTTGATTATAAACAGATCTGGAACTTGGAGAACATGCTGCCTATCCAGACCCTCCACAGACATGAGGGAGGGGTCAATGCTGTAGCTCTGTATGGGGACACACTCCTGTCTGGTTCTGAGGATCATGAAATCAAGGTAAATTTTATGGACATTAATATTCTGAAATTACTGTAACAGTACCTTGCTAGATAATAACTTTTCTTGATCTCTAGATATAACTTGTAAAGGAATCGCAAAGTTTTTTGTTAAATTTTTCAGTTAGTACACATAAGCATGATTATAAAAGTATCTTTTTTTTTTTAAAAGTTAAAAAAACCAAATATTAAAAAAGAATTTCCAAAGAAATGATTTATAACGAAGAACCTATTAAAGGTTGTCAATAATTTTACGTTTGTTTCATTCTACTCTTTACCTGTAAAAATGAATGTCTAGATTTAGACAAATTGTAACAGTTTATCTTAATAATACCATGAGTGCATGTACTATATATACTGTATAGTTACTCTAAAAAAGTTATGAAACTGTAGTGTATAGTTTTAAGGAATAATTTATCTTTCTTTACAGTTGTTCCAGTATTTCCAAATGCAGATGGGATTTGCCTTACAAACATGAAAATCAACCACATGCAATATCAGTTTTCACAGAGTAAACCTGCTGTTCTCCACATCCAAGAAAAACTTCCATGATGTCTTTCATATTGACAGTTACATTTAATTGAATACTAGTAAAGTGCTTGCATGTTTTTTTTTTTAAACATGTTATCTCCGTTCATGCCAAGGTTTATAACTCAAAGTAACAAATGTACAATGAAATCAAAAGTTGGAAATTATTTTCTAGCTTAGACTTCCAGTGGAAGAGATGTTTTAATTGTAAATCATTCCATTTACATTTTCAGAAAATTCATTTAGTGGGTGTGTTTGCTTGTCTCATTTAAAAAAGCAACTTTCACTATTGATATACATGTACACATGTAGCATTTGCATATTTTTCTGTTTTGTGAATATACACATTTATTTCTTTTTTGCTTGTGTACATATATTCATGAAGTAAGATATCAGGGAATCATCAATTCGTTTACAAGACCATTTTGTAAATTATCAACTTTCTTTTGTACCTGTTATTAATATTTTACTGGTTAATAAAATACTGTTATGATAAGCTATAAACTGTGTTAATTACCGGGTAGTGTATTTAAATACATGTAAATGAATATTTATTAAACAGACTTTTAGTAAACAATATAACAGTTCAGTAAGTAGGTATGGTTAGGTAGGGCTCATTCTAGTAGTAACATGGAAATGGACATGCTAAAAACTTATATCTACGGTAATCTGGAAAATATACCAGTTAGTCAGATCAATTGAAGCATGCCTGGAAGTGTGTATCCCTAGATGCATCATCCAAGCAATTTTGGCACAAAAAGGGCTTCAAGTTACTTGAAAAGGAACTTCTCAAACCAGAAGTCTCTGTCGAGACTGTAGCTCTACTGGTTTGTATTTATAACAAAGGATGAGAAAAAAAGTCATTGACATCAGACCAAAACTGCAGGATGAGTAGCTTTTTAAAGGAATTTCACAGAAAATTCTATTTTTAGTAACCATGGCAACACCGTTCATCGAAAACAAAAACCAATGCTCAGTTTATGTATCGTAGTGTAGTCTACTCGTGTACCAAGTAATATTGAAATCAGACCAAAACTGTAGGAGGAGTAGCGTTTTAAAGGAATTTCACAGAAAATTCTATTTTTAGTAACCATGGCAACACCGTTCATTGAAAACAAAAACCGATGCTCAGTTTATGTATCGTAGTGTAGTCTACTCGTGTACCAAGTAATATTGAAATCAGACCAAAACTGTAGGAGGAGTAGCGTTTTAAAGAAATTTCACAAAAAAATTCTATTTTTAGTAACCATGACAACACCGTTCATCGAAATCAAAAACCGATGCACTATTTTATGTATTTTAGTGTAGTCTACTTGTGTGCCAAGTTATCTTGAAATCAGACCAAAACTGTAGGAGGAGTAGCGTTTTTAAAAAATTTCACAGAAAATTCTGTTTTTAGTAACCATGGCAACACCGTTCATCGAAATCAAAAACCGATGCACTATTTTATGTATCGTAGTGTAGTCTACTTGTGTGCCAAGTTATATTGAAATCAGACCAAAACTGTACGAGGAGTAGCGTTTTGAAAAATTGTTTACAGACAGACGGACAGCTAGACAGACAGATGGACGGACGACGGACACCTTACTATCACATAAGCTCTTCTGGTCTCTGACCATTAGAGCTAAAATGAACCCCATCACTGATCAATTAATGCATCCAGTAATTTTGAAAGGGTGTTCATGAATTGTAAATGTTTTATCGATGTTAAATTGGTCATGACAGGATTTCTCTATGCATGGGAAACAGACCTGGCCCAAAAACCGATATGGCCACTCTTCCAGAAAATGTAGGTCAGATGCAGCACCTCTAGCAATTATGTAATTGTATTCCCCGTTGCATTATTCATGGTTTGGTTAGGGCAGGGATGATAGTTATTCACCCCTCCCTTGGCAGAATACATTTACTTGTACTCATGAACATGCATATACTAAACAGTGGTGAAATTAAGTAGGAGCATGCACCCATTCAACAAGTCATATTCCACTATCAAGATAAATCATGGTTCCCTCATTGGTAAGAAATAACGAGGTATAAATGGACATAAATAAAAAGAATATTACTGTATTCCAACAAAGCAGGAGCTTTTCTGAGAATGACTACACTTTGTTCTCAAAGATCTTTAAAATATGATGTATTCATATTTTTTTTTAAAATTCTAATTGTTACATGTACATATATATGAATTAATCATGACAGCAAGAAATTGTCAAAATGTCTATGTAGAAAACTTTGCCCCTGGGACCTCCACAAGGGCCTAGCCCTGGACCCATTATTAAAGGGCCCCAGGGTCCCCCTTACCTCCTGTTTTATCTGGTGGTATCCCCTTTAAATTCAAATCCTAAATCTGTGACTGCTCAAAGTGTAAGAAATAATCTCTGTTCACACTATTTTCAGTTTCTGTCAAATTCTCAAAAGTTGGAATGAAAACAAAATCAAATGTCTTTTTTCATACTTTTTAATGTGAAATGGAGTCACATATTAATGTGTATAGAGAAATCAATAAATTATGAACAATTTCTACAATTAAATTTGTCAGGCATTAAAACTGACTGAGTTATTTAGCAAATAAATATAATTATTGAGAACTGAACTACATGTACAGTGTATCTGCTCTTGTGAGCAGGTCAAGATGATGTGACAGTTTAACTGCTAATTAACATGAGAATGAAAATAAATTATACTCTAAACTAAAATTAAAACTAAGCAAATGAACAAATTTTAAACAATCTACAAGAAATGTTCAATAATGTACATATACCAGAAATTATTTTTCCGAGACTAAAAGTAATTACAGCTGAGAAACATTAGATCTGTACATACAAATAAATACAATGCACCAAAGAGAACATGCTATAAAACTATTAGTTCTTGCATGCAAAATATATATTGAGAATCATAAAATTAACTGTTTTGTAACAATGGATTTTCCCTTCATAAGTGTACATGTATATAATTTAATATAAATAGGCAAGATGTTATCATCTAGATATCACAAATTATTATAAGTTATGAGGTAAGAGGAATAACTTAAGGATTTGAAGTACCAATTTTTAAAGGAATTTCAGTTAAAAGTACATGTACTAAGAATGAGTGTGCTGCGTAAGTATCATATTGAATTAAAATGAAATCTACTGCCAATACTTTGATATAATTAGTGCAGACAGACCCTAAACTGTTTTACAATGATAAATAAATAATTCTAAATCTGAAATGTTACCTTTGAGTTTAGACTACCGGTATTTTCATATCTTCAAAACAATACTGATTTCATTTTATACAAAACTTTTCTGGTTTATATACTTGGTATATGAAGGATTTGGCCCATCTATGATGAATTTTGGCTGAGCAAAGAAAAAATATGTTAAAGACTTGGCTGCCTAAAGGAAGGGAATAATTTTTCAACTGATATTGCATTTATTTCTTTTCTCTCTCAAAAACGTGAAGCGTAGACACTGATCTTCCATTCCATGTTATGAATTGCTGTTTAAAGTTCATGAGTGCATGTGTACTTTATTTACAATCAAGTGATGCCTAACATACTTCTGGTACATGTATCTTAAACAAAAGACACTGCATTGTATTCTAGGGCATAAAGTTGGTTTGATACGTTTTTGTTTGAACAAATTAAACCATGAACACATTCATGAAGATAAAAAGTCAATTTGATGAATTTTGCTTAAAAAATTTCCATTCAAATCAGTTAAAATGTACATAATACATCAAACTCATGAAAGGACAATTGAGTCATAGTAAATGACAGCAAAAAAGGGAAAATACTTAGAATTTAAAAAAAACATTCCATTTAAAAATCTCTTATTTGGCAAATTAACATGAAAAAAAATGATGATAGTGAAAAGTATCAACAACTTTCACCCCCCCCCCATTCTTTTCATTTTTGGGGGAGCAGGAAAAAAAGGAAGTTAAAAGGAATTTTACTACCCAAGATTGAAAAAAATCAGAATCAGAAAAGCCAGAATTTGCTGCACAAAAAAATCCCAACATATTTACATGTAAATTATTTTAAAAAAGTAAAACGATTAATTAATTTACAGTATACACTTTGAGACAACAAGTGCAAACCACTCAATATAAGTCAGATAAAAATTCTACATGCATTTTCTGACATAACCTTGTGGAAAGTATAAAACCCACTGAAATTTCATAATAAAAATTCATATTTACAATTTTTCAGGATGTCAAAAAAATTAAATGTTTATAGTTTTAAATTAAATATTATTAAGGTAATAATATATCACAGACACTCATTAAAACCAATATGTACCACACACATATATTTACAAATATATTGGTAATTTTTCTAAATGAAAGTCTACAATTCTACAATAAAAACAAATGCTTTAAACAAGATCTCTTAGAATATTTTACAAAGGTTCTGATGAAAAAAAGACTGGGAAGAAAAAAAAAACACCTCTCCAAACTTTTCCACAAGTCTAGGATAAAGTTCAATAAAATATTAACCTTGAGAATGTGAAAAATATATATTGTGGACATATACGTGTATATTTACATTTCCCTGATAAGATGATTAAATGAATGAATTTCCCTGAATTTCAATTATTTTTTCATGCGTAAGTCCCATACCTTTCATTTACTTTCAAAAGAAAAAAAGTCTTCAAATAGATAAAAATTAAAATTAAAATGTTGATTAAGCACACAAGGGATTATAAGTTTGTGTATTTGAATTATTTTACTGTTACTGGCAAAGTTTCTTTAGTAATAAAGAATGTTTTTGAAGTACATCCTGAATGCAAATGGATGCCAGTTTTTCTTGGGAGAACACAATCGTACCTAAACATTTCACTAAAGAAACTAACACAACAGCTGAGTGGTAATCTACGTTATGTGACTTCCTGGTTGCTGAGATCTCATTAATTACATCCTTGTCCTGACACACTAAGAACTGTAAATGTCTTCCTTGTTGAGAAAGGCTTGAATGGACTTCTGACACTCTGATGACTGCCAGCGTTCTAACAGAATGTTACTCTCCGACTCGCACGTCAGCTCCAGTTTGGTTCTTTGGTGGCTTCTTAGCAGCAATTTGGTGGTTTCTAAAGCCTACCAAAAATAAATTTACATATATATATATGTACAACAAGTTTAAATATCTGATTCTTTCAAACATCAATAGATGATTACTGGTAAATTAAAGAAAATATCAATAATTTGAAATTCGAATTTTTATATTGAAAATGATCACTACTACATGTATGGAAATTTATTGTTTGAATTAAGGTATCAAGTACTGAAATGCATTAATTTACACAATCATGTATATGATCCCACAAAGTCATAGGACTTCATACTATTAAAAGTAGATTATCTAATACAACAATTCAGTAACTTTCCCTCTTAAACATGCATAAATTGAACCTCCTGTAGTTACCTTTGCTGAATGTAGTGCAATGTTCTGTATCTTTGGAATGACCTCTTGCATCATGGATGTGGGCCAGAAAACTTGAGAAACCAGACCTAGCTGACAAGCCTCTATAGCTGTCACCTTCCTACCTGCCAACAGCAGCTCATTGGCCTAAAACAAATACCAGCCATTTATACTTAAAAGATAAATTTACTTGTACTTGAGGCAAAATTCCCAGTCTTGCTTATTACTGCTTTTATTAAAACAAGTCAATTTCAGGAAGAATTTGACAATGTATACAGTGAAGATGGAAATCTGAGAGGTAATTTTTGTGATGATCATGTAAGAAAGCATTTATGCATATGGTGATTTTTGCAAAAAGTAGAGATTAAGTATATTGGTTTGTAAATTGTTACTAGGTATTTAGTTTGGTACCTTCTATCAAAACTTTTTTGTAATGATAAGTTTTGCAAAATTGGAACATCTTAAAAAAAATTTCCCTCACTATCATATTTAGAATAAATCAAAATCTGCTTTAGATTTCAGCTATAAAATTGTGTCAGTCTTCATGAAGAATTTCTTTTATTCTCATTCTGCTTCCTTGTTTATTTCAGGATTGGGGAGTTTAAAAATAATGTACAATACATGCAAAAGAACTATTGAATACACACATAATTCTTTTATTATATTGAATAAATATGTCTATGCTTCTTACTTTAACTGAAAAATGTTAATTTTTTATGTACATTTTAATTTTCTATCCTAACTTACCATAGCCATGCCCACAGACTGGGGGAGGGTGTAGGAGGCACACCCCTCAGGAGTCTGGGACAGGGCGGAGTAGGGCAGATAGAAGGTGGCCTTGTCGCTGGCGTACACAATGTCACAGAGGGGAAGCATGGCCATCCCCAGCCCCACAGCCGGACCATTGACCACAGCGATCACAGGCTTAGGGAAGGTGATCAGAGCCTTGGTAAAATCTCTGGAATATACATTAAACAGTAACATAAGCTTTAAGATGAAAAATATTTCTAAAATACTAGGTTGAAGTCTGGTAATTATATGTATCTGTAATTTACATGTACACAGTTTCAATATTCTTAACCTCTGTAAACACAGTAATATTATATTTAAGCAACAATCATGCTGCTTCTTTTCTCTTCTCCCCAAACATGCCAAACAAAAAGAAATAATTACATGTATTTCAAAATTTGTAAATATAATGATGAGTTCCATGCAATACCTAAGGTATGAAACAAACCTAAGAGCATCCACCATTTGCCGAACCACAACTCTCTTCTCTCCAGACAGGAGAAACATTAGATCCACCCCATTACAGAACACATTCCCCAGTCCACTGAACAAAATCAAACTGCTGTCATCATACTTAGCAGAGTTCAGGGCCTGAAGAGTTTCCTGTATAACCTGAAAATTAGCAACATTTAAAAGCCTCGAAATAACATGATGTGGGCTTTTAAAAGTGATTTAGGTTGCAACCAAGTAAAGATACACAAAACTACAGCAAATATTGATAGTAGAGAAAATATGACAATTTTCCCTTAAGAATCATCTTAATTTCTAAACTGAAATATCTTTTATCAATTGTCGTTACACCACTTAAATGAATAATATAAATATTAGTATTTGAGAAATTTAACAAGGCATAATCTTGTATTTCACACTATGTAATTTAAATTTCAAGGTCATGTTAAAGTTGTGAATGGATAAACAAGTAAACAGACATATCAAATTTAATTCACCAGTGAATCACAATAAGCATGATTAAGTGTAAATTGATGCATTCTACAGTGATCTCTCAAAAAACAACAAAATCAATTAGATTATCCCTACCTGTGGATTGAGCACATTTTTAATCTTGGTGTGAGTGTTAAGCCAGATCTGAGTATATCTCTGACATTTTCTCACAACAATATCCTTATACCTGAAATCAATAGATACATATATCAGATATTTGACACTCCCATCAAGCCATGTAAAAACTATACATAATTCATAGAATAAAAAACAGTTATATGACCTTCTTCAATTGATTTCTTCAATAGGGGAAAAAAATTGGTATATTTATAATGCTTATACTGCAAAATCACATATTTTCATTAGGGTAAATTTTTGAGGTTTGAGAAAAAAATTACAGTGTATTGGTATGCTGGGATTTGACTTTATTTTTAGTTTTCAAGTATTAGAAGTCTTGATTAAAAATGCTTATCAAATTTTACATTTCTTGCCGTTCATGGGTCTATCAGTACCTCAAATTTTTTAGGGTTGAGAAAAAAATTATTGATATGTAAAGATTTTAAAAAACAACAAACAGTTAAACCCCTCAAAAAACAATGAAAATTAAAATGTGATTAGTGATTTCACAGTATAACATCTAGTATTTTCCCCATACCTGTATGCACATTCACTTTGGCGTACACTGATCCTTCTCTCCACTCTCTCCTGGTCATCCTCTGATGTATCATCCGAGTCTTTCTTCTTCCCTCCACCTTTCTTGGCTAGGAGGGACAGTGGCATGTTGTCTAACAAGGACTTGTATGAGACAGAGGAGGGGCTGACGGGGGTCACGGAGGGCAGGTACTGGTTCCCTGGGACGTCTCCAGACAGGGGGGTGGCTAGGTCTGCGTCCACCACCAAGTTCACTATCCCTACCCCACTTATAGTCACTGGCTTAACCGTGGTGTAGGAGGAGGAGATTTTGGGTGAAACAGGTTGAACTGCAGAAAAAGATCTCACTGTAAATGTTATTTCTCTCTGATAAAAAATACACATTTCTGAAATAATTCTTGATTTGTTGCAAAGAACTTTTCAAAACCAGCCTGTTCCAGAATCCAAGTGAATTAAACAGATCTGTCAACTCCACAAAGGAATACAATTTTTTTGTCTATTAAATTTTATCTACTTATAAATCATGCATTTAAATATAGCAAAAATTGGCTGTAATAGTACCTTTTGCCATTTCTTTGCCCCTGTTTTTGCTGTCAATGAGTCTCATTGTTTTAGATTTGGACGTAGAACCTAATGGCTGAACACGGACCTCCAGCTTCCTCTTCATATTATTCACAGTCAACTGTTTGGGCTTGACTTTAACAGCCTGGCTGTTCCCATCTTGACCAGATTTTGACTTGGGAGAAACTTTCTTCGCATCCTTTTTCTTGCTCCCAAAAGAAGAATCACTGCTGCTTTTCTTCAGTTTCTTGACTTTCATGTTACACAGAGGTTCATCATCAGTGTCGGAGGTGGAACATTCCACAATGTGGTAATCCTCCTCCACTTTACGTTTGGTGGCTTTGCTTTTCTTGGCTTTGTCTCCATTTTGTTTCTCCTTTGTAGCTTTCTCAGCCAATTTCTCAGTCTTCTGATTTTTTCCTGATTGAGACGTCTTAACTTTCTTCTTTACCTCTGACCTATCATCTGATTTACTCTCTTCTTTGGAAACTTTTTTCTGAACAGGTTTTTTCACTTCCTCTTTGTCCTTTTTCTTTTTGTCCTTTTTATCACTTTCCTTTTTCACTTTTCCTGTTGGCTTTAGTTTTACTTTCATAGCATATTTTACAGACTTTTTATACTTTTTGTCACGTATAACTTTCTCTGCAGCACTTGTTTTAGTTATTTTTTTTGATTCCTTAGTTGAATCTTTATCCAAAGACTTTTTATTTGTATCTTTTTCTTCTTTCCTTTTTGAAGATGACTGATTTTTGTCCATTTTTAAATCCTTTTCAGCACTTTTGGTATCAACTTGTTCAACATCATCTGTCTTAAGTTTATATTCAGTGTCTTTCTTTGGTGAATCATTTCCTTCATTTTTTCGTGGTGACCTTGGGCTGGCATCCCTCTTTGGAGATTTCTGACCCTCTGAACTATTTCCACTTGTTACCTTTAACCTTTCACCTTCCCTAGGACCTTGGCCACTTTCATTCTTTGTTGGTATAAATGTTTCTGCTTTCATGTCAATAAAAAGCTTTCCCTTCTCCCTTGCAAGCCTCATTCGCAATTTTTCATCCTTGACCCCTTTAACACTTTCAACAGAAACTTTATATGGACTCTTTCTGGGAGAATTTGGAGATTTCTTCTTGGATGAAACATGGCTTTTCATTTTTGAATTTTTGCTTATGGATGAAGATTTGCTTTTAGTTTTGCCATCTTTCTTTGGACTGGGACTGGGAATTCCTCTAGCAACAGCTTCTAAAGATGAATCTAGTAGCTGTGAGGATTTTTCCTTTGCAGCATCGAAGTCCAGAACAAGCTGTAAGCAATCGATCAGATTATCCACTGGTTCCCATGTGTCCCACTCAGAACCGAACCCCTTCCATCGAATCAAGTAATAGACCTGATCATTAATGCTGCTTTTGTCCAAAATCTTCTCTACCTGAAAAATTTCATCATATTTTGTGATTGTCAATTAAAGGAAAGTCTCATTTTGACGATGTTTTATATTTATCTACACTATTTATAACAGCTAGTATAAACAAAGCACATTTTCAGCATATAATGAATGCTTAAAACACCCATGGAATGATTTTTTAAAAATTTTATAGCAATTAAATACTGTACAAGAAATTGCACTGTGCCTTGACTTTAAGTCATCTCAGTCTTTCAGATACTTTTAATTACGGTAAAGGTTGGTTTCTTCTAACTTTTATCTCACTCCCTGTTTTCACAAGATGAATGATCTAATTTTAATGAGACTGAGAAATCCTTCCATTTCTGGTTGTACTCCATTCCTGACATAGAATAAGTTGTACTTTTTTTTCTTTTCATTAAAATAAGTGAAGTCTGAGCAAATGAAAGTTGTACTTGGGGGTGATTGGGACTATGCATGACTAAATATCATGAGATTAGCCATATATGGTATAATTAAAATAATCAAGGTAAAAAACTAAATTTATAAATGAACTGGGAGGGGAGTGGGGGGGTATCTCAATGGCCAATCTCTAAACATTAGACAAAGTGTAATCTTCTTGCATAGAATGGCATAAAGATATCATAGACAGGGAAATATCATATTTTTGAGAAATTGAATGTTCTTTATTGAGGGGGGGGGGGGGGGGGGGGGTATCTCAATGGCCAATCTCTAAACATTAGACAAAGTGTAATCTGCTTGCGTAGAATGGCATAAAGATATCATAGACAGGGAAATATCATATTTTTGAGAAATTTAATGTTCTTTAGAATTTTTTTTTTATTGAGGGGGGGGGGGGGGTTCAAAAATGACACACTTCAGGTGCCTGTGGTAAATATAGGGTCTATTGAAAAGATTAAACAATAGATATTGCTTTTATGTCAAACATGCAATTTAACTTTTCCAATTAGCTATGGCCTAGCATTCATAAGTTCATAACAATGTAAATCATTTAATGCTGAGAATTTCTATTAGGCTAGGCTAATTTGATGTTAACACAATTCTAATTTTTGTCTTAAATAAAAACAATCATCTACATATTATATAATTCTAGGAACTCAAATTTAAGTAATTTCCCAGATAAAACATTTAAATTAAAAATGATATTCATATACAATACATTGAACTACTTATATATAACTCCTAAACTTGCATCCTAACAAATTAAATTGACTTTTTAAAAAACATTTTTAAAAAAAATTGTAATTTAGTTTTACAATGCTAGAGTGAAAGATAATGATTTGTTTAGAGGACACTCATTTCTTTAACAGGTACTGAAGCATACCTTCCGTGATTCTACACTTTAAGCAGCTGATTTATTTATAAACCACAAAATTTCCATTTTTTCCGATGACCTGCGTACCAATCCTAAACCTTATATTAAAAATGCAGATTGTGACGGCTTCCTCCACGAGCCTTGGGCTTCAAAAATGACAGGACAAATATACTTGTTTTTCGTATATACTTTCTGTTGTGAATGTAGAATTTATACATTTCTGATTGCACAAATACTAATTGATTTTAATAGTTTATACACAGTAAATAAAATAAAAGCTATTAAAATATTTCACGGGAGAGTAGAATGGTCATAAACAGTTCGATATATCTGTAATATTTACCTCATAGTGCTTATTGTCCGCCATAGCGCGGTTTGCAAAATATCACCACACGGTGGCGCTGTGAAATTGTAATGGCTGCCTCCTTGATGCGTCGGCTTCGGGTTGTTGGAGTAAACAAATGGTTAAGCTTTTAGATAGATTATTGAAAAGTTTTGTAGATATAATATGATTTTGCAAACAACATAATCTTGGTTAAATGATCTTACGTTTTTCTATACATGTCATGGAATTACAATTTTGCAATCATGTTAGCTAGGGACACGTCTGCTATTCATTGCATTTTGAGTATGTAGCTGGTCAAAGTCCAATTATCATGAGAAAGTTGTAATGACACATCTTTACAGGAATATTTGTCAAACTGAATGAACATTTTAGAAAACTTATTACATATCAAATGATACTTGATGCTAACAGGTGAAAACTTAACACAAAGATTTTATATGTAATGTTTACTATCTCAATGATTAGATTTCATGTTTTGTAATGTAATTAATAATGATCAAAATCAAATATTATCAGAATTGATAAAATAATCAAATTTCTTTTCAGGATGAATGCTTTTCAGAACCGATCAATACACCTGTCAGTGCGAGCTTTGGGGGCATTTGATGATGATTTTGAGAAAGCGAAAAATCGACTGAATACTCTGAAGGAGGAGCCAGGAAATGATGTTAAATTGAGAATATACGCTTTGTTCAAACAAGTATTTATTTCTATTGATTAGAATTAATTCTATTATTGATTGAGTTTGTTGCAGGATCAAATCTACCATGTCTTTTTATGAGATTTTCCAGCTTGTATCAAGTATTTGTTTCATACTGATACATTTTAAGAAACAATTAAAGTTTGTATTTATCAATGAGATAATTGCAATTGATATGTTTCTGTATTAGGCAACAAATGGAAAATGCAACACACAAAAACCAGGCATGATGGACTTTGTTGGGAAAGCAAAATGGGATGCCTGGAACAGTTTAGGCGACATTACTCAGGTATTTACATACGGGATAATTTTAACATTTATTTCTTTAGAACCAGTGAAAAATTAAAATATAATGGTTAAAATGGAATATATATATATGTACAAAGAAAATTAATATATTTGGGATTGAGATTTACAGGAATGAAATTTTTACACCCCATGTTCCAATACAATATAATATTTCTGTGTACAGTGATTCACTAATATAAATATCATTACACCTCTAAGGCTAGGTAGGGCATATATTCTGTTATTATCAACATGTACATGTGTGATGTATGGATATAATAGTCATTTGTGAAACTCATGTAATAATACTTCAAGTATTATCTTGGGTGTCAATTTTCAAGCCAGGCATAAATGATGAAGCTATACAGAATGAACGCAGTCAGCAAAATTCTCATTGTCAGTTATAAATATATGTAGTAATACATGTACATAATGAATATGATAGTTTTCTTTCTTTAAAGGACGCAGCCAAGCAAAAGTATATTGAACTTGTTGATGAATTAGCTGGCAAAGAAAAACCAGAAACTCCTGCTGAAAGTACGACAGCCACCGGCAGTAAATTTACCACGCTAGACGTAACTAATGATGGAGGAGTCTATACTATCAAGCTCAACAGACCTAACAAGAAGAATGCTATCAATTTTGAGGTACATTGTTTATCAATTCCAATTTCGCATTTACATATTTGTTATTATTATAAGACTCTAAGTAAAATTATTGGTCAGATTTAATTTTATAAGTATTTTAATGCAACTTTGGTGATTATTGTGGAATCATTGGTTTTTGTGGTGGATCAAGATTCTGGATTACCTAAACCTTGCATCCACAAATTCACATAAGAAATTGATAATAAGGGTTTTAGGAGTTATCTTTCCTTTTGTAGGTATAAGTACATGTAAATGCTCTAAATTATGTCCCCTCTATTAACCTGTAAAATACTTTGAAATCACTAATTTCGTGGGGTTTAATATTTGCTGTTTTTGAGTATGGAGAGAGCTCAAATTCATGACTATACCACAAAATGTATAATTTGATATGCATAACTACTGAACATTTCCAAACCACGAAATCAAATCCACACAAACCAATATTTTTTCCTCAAATCTAGAAATTTTAACCCCACGAAAATATGTAATTTTACAGTATAGGCAATTAATCCACGAAAATTGCGATGAATTTAAGTGATTTTACAGTACATGTGTTACATTAAGATCATGATTGTTTATATCACTTTATGTCTTTCAGATGTATGATGAGTGGGTACTGGCTTTAAAGGAGGCAGCTGATGACAAGAATGTGGTGCTAGCAGTAGTTACAGGTACACTTTAGTAAAAGAATTTATTCACACAGAAATCTGGAAAAAATTATTAAATTTTGTTAAAGTACTTTTGCAGGTAAATATCTATACAATAGTGACAGCAAACTTTTATCACAGTAGCTATATAGGATAAAACAGTATGCAGCAAAATATTGAAAAACATGACCCCTAGGGGTAGGATGGGACCACAATGGGTATAAAAGTTTTACTTATGACTACCTGGTATACAGGAAATTTCTTAAGAAATTTTCTCAAGAACAGCAAACATGAATTAATAGTTGTATTGATAAAGAAGCCTTCTCAGATTTTGTAGACTCCAGTTTGTTCAAATGACACTGGGGTTAAAGTGGGGCCAGAAGGGTCATTTTGAATAAGAATATATAGAAAAAAAAAAACATCTTATGATGATATAAAACAGGGCCATACTGATTCAGATGAGCATTATGAGCCTCTTGTTGTTTTGTAACTTTGCAGACATTAAATTCTCATATTGGCACATGTTGGAGTTGATGCAGAAACACATATGTGCTTATAAGGAAATAACATGTAAAAGTAAACTGCATGGTTTTCATTCTCTGTGGCTTTGAAATATATTGTAGATGAAAACACATATATTTTCAATATAAACAAAATTGTCATTCCCTGGCATTGGCACTTTATTATAAGTGGGTTTCACTGTAATGTGCCGTTGACTGTAATACACTGTACATGTGTTCTTTCAGGTACAGGGGATTTCTACTGCAGTGGAAATGATCTTGGAAATTTTATGGATATCCCCCCTGATGGCGTGAAAGCCATGGCTGAAGAAGGTGGAATAATATTAGAGTGAGTATACGAAGGTGTTCAACTTATTGCAAACGAGGTCGGATTAGTAATTTTTCTAATAAATTCAACAGTTCTTTAAGTAAATTCATTCCCAAGTATTAAACTAAAAATCCTATCAAGACCAAACTACCCAAAACAGTGTGTCTATTAGCTTACAGCTAAATCAGTCTTTGCCATACTTATAATGGACATTCATTGAAAAGCTTTTTTACTCTTTGATTACCTATATTAGAATTTGGAATACTTTGCAAACCAAGTACGTTTAGTTTCTTGCACCTTCTTCTTTTAATGCATGTTATTTGTTACTACAAGAATCATTTATGCATTTATGATTAAAAATATGATAGAATTTATCCTGTGCATGAAAATAAAAGAAATGTAAGCTTGAATGTTAAATTTCAGGAGGTTTGTTTCTGCTTTTATTGATTTTCCTAAACCCCTGATTGGTGTCATTAATGGACCAGCTTTGGGGGTGTCAGTTACTGTGCTGGGGCTCTTTGATGCTGTGTATGCCACAGACAAGGTTTTTAATTTTGAGACATTTTTTTTTCTTTTAAGATTTTTCATCTTTTGATTTTAATTTTTTTTATTTTATAGAATTTATGATTTAAATGCTTTCTTAGAGCACCTGATACTGGACAAAATATTACAGATATTCTAAATGTTCTTCAATAATCACATTACTTTATTGTGAATTTTATTAGGCTACATTTCACACCCCATTCTCCAATCTGGGCCAGTCTCCAGAAGGATGCAGTTCTTACACATTTCCCAGATTGATGGGAGCAGCAAAAGTAAGTGTGATGCAATTTTGAACCAAAAGGAAATAATTTGGTGTGATTTTATATACACATGTACTATAAAAAGTTATTATAGCATCTATCAAAGTTAGCAATTTTAGGCATTTGTTTGGGCTATTACTATTAATAGGGTAGTAAATTTTACATGTGTATTTGAATTATTATATACCGGTACATTCAATATTAATGATAGCAATACTTCTGATAATACATGTTATGGATGCTTGCTAATTATTCCTGTTATACAATACATGTATATGTTTTGTAAAGATAAAATCAGAATAATCTGAAAGTTCAGATTTAAAGGTTGGCATAAATCTTTGCATATTGTACAGTATATTTTACTGATTCTAGGCTAGTGAACTGCTGTTGTTTAACAAGAAAATCACAGCTCAGGAGGCATTTGACAGAAACCTTGTTACTGAAGTCTTCCCAGATCACGACTTTCAGAGGTCTGTCCAAACTCGTATTCAGCAGTATGCCAAACTTCCCAAAATGGTATGTCGCATCAGTTAATAATGTTAATGAAATATCATCTATCTACTCTCTCCCAAAAATTTTTGAAATAAATGATATTGTTGTACATGTACTTTGTCACAATTCTCATCAATTACCAGTACACTGTATTGAGTTCGATGTCACTACATGGATATCTTCACTTTTGATCTTTAAAAATTCTGGTGCATCTAACTGCATATACTTGTAAACTAATCAGTATAAATACAAATTCTAACTATTTTACAGTACTGTGTATATAATTAGGTCTTTCCACCTTTCTGTGGAAAGACCTATTGATTTCCTTCTGTTTCTTCTTTTCCTTATTTTTTATTATTTTTCCGCCGTGTGATTTTTTGTTTCAAGATTTATCGAAAAGATTTCTATTCCATAAGAATGTACTTCATAAAAGATTTTCGCAGTTGACCCTGCGTAAATGAACTTGGACCCCTTTCGGAGTTATTACCCCTTTCGCAAAAAAGCTTGTTATCGCTACTCCTTCAAAACTGTATACCGTAGAGAAATGAAACCTTCACTAATCTATTTTACTAATTTAGTAGACACTTCACTGATATATTACCAAAGTATTCGTCGACCCTTTGAATGAGTTCTTGCTCCTGAAACTTTTTGAATTTTACAAATACTTTAAAATTTCCGAAACAACAAGTTGTAGAGACATGGGACCAACTGCATAAGATTCATTGACCTTTGACCTTTAAATTCATATAAAGGTCAAAGGTCAAGGTCATTCCAAAAATGAGAAATTCAGCTCTTTTTATATCTCTTTTGTCTTTCAACATATACTTAATGTCTATGCATCATTAATATGTACTTTTAAAACTGTTTCAAAGATTTCATTCTTGTCCCTTAAGGTTGTTCCTTTTAAAAGTTATTGCCCCTTGTGCGAAAAACCTTGTTATCGCTACTCCTCGGATACCATAGACCGTAGAGACACCAAACCTTTACTAATGTCTTAAGGGTCTTCAGGCCTAACTTCAATGTATAAGTAAGAAAGGATCTGCTGACCCCTTATATGAGTTATTGCCCTTTAACGTCTTTGTACTTACTATTAAACCTTATAACTTGAAAAGTATAAGTCGTAGAGGCATGGGGTCAATTGCATTGTAACCCTTGACCTTTGGCCTTGAATATTTTCTCAAGGTCAAAGGTCAAGGTCATTTCAATTTTTTTTAAATTTTCATTTTTTTTTCATCCTTTTAAGACAATTTTGGTTTCTTATTCATGAAATCTAATTTTAAGGATTTAGATATAAAACAAAATTGAAATTCAATGAAGGTGGAAAGACCTCTTATTGTTCTTTGAACAATAAGTCTCCTAGTTTTTTTTATTTTTTATTATTTTTCCGCCGTGTGATTCTGAGTTTCAAGATTTATCGAAAAGATTTTAAGTTCATAAGAATGTACTCCGTAAAAGATTTTCGCAGTTGACCCTGCGTATATGAACTATAACCCCTTTCGGAGTTATTACCCCTTTCGCAAAAAAGCTTGTTATCGCTACTCCTCCGAAACCGTAAACCGTAGAGAAATGAAACCTTCACTAATGTCTTCAACTAATTTAGTAGACACTTCATTGATTCATTGCGAAAGCATTCGTTGACCCCATCAATGAGTTATTGCCCCTGGAAAATTTTGAATTTTACAAATAATTAAAAATTTTCAAAACAAGAAGTCGTAAAGACATGGGACCAACTGCATAAGATTCATTGTCCTTTGACCTTAAAATTCATATAAAGGTCAAAGGTCAAGGTCATTCTAAAAATGAGAAAATTAGCTCTTTTTGTATCTTGTTTGTCTTTCAACATATACTTAATGTCTATGCGTCATTAATATGTACTTTTAAAACTGTTTCAAAGATTTCATTTTTGTCCCCTAAGATTAAACCTTATCAAAGTTATTGCCCCTTATGCGAAAAACCTTGTTATCTCTACTCCTCCGAAACTGTAGACCCTAGAGACACCAAACCTTCACTAATGTCTTAAGGGTCTTTAGACCTAACTTCACTGTATAAGTGTTAAAGAATCTGATGACCCCTTATATGAGTTATTGCCCTTTAACTTCTTTATACTTACTATTAAACCTTGTATCTTGAAAACTATAAATGATAGAAGCCTGGGGTCAATTGCATTGTGATCCCTGACCTTTGACGTTGAATATTTTGTCAAGGTCAAAGGTCAAGGTTATTCCAAAAATGAGAATTAAAGCTCTTTTTATATATCTTTTGTCTTTTAACATGTGCAATCAGTCTTTGCATCATTAATATGTACTCTTAAAACTATTTCAAAGATTTCATTCTTGTTCCCCAAGATTGACCCTATCAAAAGTTATTGCCCCTTATGCGAAAAACATTGTTATCGCTACTACTTCAAAACCGTAGACCGTAGAGGCATGAAACCTTCACTAATGTCTTAAGGGTCTTTAGGCACACCTTCATTGTATAAGTACTAAAGGATCTAATGACCCCTTATATGAGTTATTGCCCTTTAACTTCTTTGCACTTAAAATTTAATCTTATAACTATAGAACTAAAAGTCGTAGAGGCATGGGGTCAATTGCAATGTGACCCTTGACCTTTGATCTTGAAGATCTGATCAAGGTCAAAGGTCAAGGTCATTTAAAAAAATATTTATTTTCTTTTTTTAAGCCATTTCCCTTAAAATTAAATTAGAGAGTAAAATATAAAACTATAAGAAATTTAAAAAGGTGGAAAGACCTCTTATTGTTCTGTGAACAATAAGTCTCCTAGTATTTATATTTTTTCTCCTCAGAGTTTGCAGAAGTCAAAGTTCTTGTCTAGAGAAGCGGAGCGGGAGATTCTGCATCAGGTGAACAAAAGAGAATGTGAGGTCCTAGTAGAGCGCTGGCAGTCGGAAGAATGCTTCAAAGCCATCATGAACTTTTTCTCCAAATCAAGCTCGAAATTGTAGACTTGTCTTCACCCTAAAATACCTCTGTTGATACTGTGTGTGATAGAATAGTCAAGATTTCTGTGATAATCTTGTACAAGAGATTAAACTCTATCAAGGTGGTAGACATATCAAATATAAAGTATTATACCATTTGTATATTAAAGGTCGAGAGACTTTCAGTGAAGATGGAACAAGGTACAATTGAATACATTTAGTCTTGTGACATATGTGTGAGGATGATGATTTGTTTTTGGGTGTTTTTTTTTTTGCAAAAGTTAAAAAAAAATGAAAACACACATTGATTAACTTAAACTTATAGAAAACTTAGATATGAAACCATATCATATGAATATGTATTGCAGTAAAACTGAATTTTATCATGTTATAAACATGAAACTAGCTTTGTGTGTGTGTTTGTTGTTACCAAAGAAATGTTTATTTAAACATTTATCTGAAAATATGATGTTTAACAGGTAAAGCCAATCAAGTATCATCTTCTCTATCAAAGGTTGAAAAAAGGAAAAAGAGCAGATCTTTGCTCTTGGCTTCTTAACAAAGACATGGGTGTGAAAAGTCTATTTCAGGTTTATTTTAAATTGTCAAGGGCCAACCTCTGAAAAATGGAATGTAAATTACGTGTATTACAAAAGAAAAGGAAATTTCAAGAAAATCTTAATTGTATGCGAAAAAACTTTAACAATCAGCCTGAGAATGCTTAAATACAAAAGGTCACCAAAGAGAAATTGGTCATTGCATATTTGCATAACCTTTCCAAATGTCCTTGTATTTTCAATGCCCTGCTATGAATAAAGGTGGGGCATGAAATTATACAGTGTTTGTCTAAATGTAACCCAAGGAAAGGACTTATTCTCAATGAATATACCTGTGATATGAAAGCCCAAGCTCTAACAATTAAAAAGTTATGGTCAAGGCTCAAGCTTTTTTTTAAATGTGGGTCAAATGTCAAGGTCAAAAGTTCAAATTAAAGATACTCAGGAGAATGTATTGTCATAAGAAATTCACATGTGAAATATTAAAGCTCCAGTACCAACTGCTCAAAAGTTTAGGCTAAAGGTTAAAAGTTGTTCAAAAGAATGTCAAACTCCAAGGTTTACAAATCCAAATCGTCACATTCTAAAGCAAGTCCTTGTCACATGGAACACACCTGTGAAATATGATAGTCCTAGTACTAAGAGTTCGAAAGTACGTCCAATGTTGAAGTTTTTAAAAAAGTGAATCAGACTCAAAGGCCAAGGTCTAAGGGTAAAAAAAAAAATATCTCTCCATAGAAAAAAGACAGGCGGGAATTATGAAATCCCTAGCAACGACTTTTCAAAAGTTATGGCCAAGTTAAAGTTCGTTAAATTCTTGCAAAATTAGTCCAAACTCCAAGGTCAAATATGTTGGTACCAAAAGAAAGGTCCTGTCACAAGAATACTCAAGTGAAATATGAGAGCAATAGCTCCAACCAACAAAAAAATTATGGACAATGTTAAAGTTTTTACGGACTAACAGAAAGACAGATGGACAGACGGGTGGACAGGGCAAACCTTTATATCCCGAATCTGGAAGTTTTTGAGTTTGACCCGTTAAAAAACAACCTTGGACATAACTTTTGAACGGTTGGTAATAGGGCTTTCATATTTCACATATGTAATTCGATGTGACAAGGCCCTCCTTTCGATAGAAACAATATATGGACTTTCTAGCCCTGATCTTTGGATTTGACATACTTTTAAAAACACTTTCCCTTGATTTTAATTGAACTATTGATGCCAGGGATTTGATATTTTACATGTATATTTCTTATGACAAGGCCTTTCACTTGGAACCTTTAAGTTGACATTTTGACCTTGAAATTTGACAAACATTAAAAAAATCAAACCTTTTCATTTTAAAGGTTTGTGCTTGGACTTTCATATTTCACAAATATATTTATTAAGACAGTCCTATTTTTGGGTAACAACATTTTCATTCCTTGACCTTGAAGTCTGACTTGCATTTGAGAAATTTCAACCTTCGCAAAAAGCTGTTATACAGGGACATATTCGGTGTTTCACAAACACATCTTGTTTTTTTTTATTTAGGATGATGGACAAATACAGTACAATATGCCACTGATTATTGCACCTCAACAAATAAGATCTCTACAGCTAGGGAGCAAATGCTGGATCAGGCCTAGAACAGGTTTAAATTTTCAAAGCAGGCTCATTTTCAGTTTTTGGAGCAGCTGCAAGTCAATTCTCTAGAAACTATAAGCCCTATATTGACCATACCCCGCACCTGGCTTGCTTTGGATGCTGGATCTGACCCTCATTTTCTAGCAAAGGTACAAGGTTTAAGTTTATACTAAAGTAATTAATATTTGCCCTTTTTAGACAAAATTTGCATGAATGATACATCATAGGATGCACACCACTGGAGTTGCTTTGGATGCTGAGTTTGACAAAGGGGTACCTTTTCAGATGAGCAACCAAGTAAAAGTTTTTTGAGAAGTTGTTTTATAAAGATGCTATAAGCCCTATGCTAACTAACATTGAAGATACGTTTATTGATGCACATTACCAAAGTTGCTTTCGATGCTAGATCTGACCTACGTTTTCCAGATAAGCTGGTTGGTTCATTACCAAGAAACTTTTAGGCCTATCTGAACCAAACTTGCAAGGATGAACTTTTTAAACTTGCTTTAGATGCTAAATTTGACTTACTTAGTACATTTTCTGAATAAAAGATCAGATTAAAGTTTTCAAGCAGGTTTATAATCCAGAGACTAACTAGGTATCCGTCGATTTGTGATAAGATTCCAGAATTTGCCCTCGGGGCGATTGTGTATCAAGAAGCATCCATTTTCAACACCTTTCCTTAAACTAGCTCCATTTAATATTTTTAATGAAAACGAGTCATCTATTTGAATCTGTTTAGTTGTTGTTCTGGATTTCAGAATTCCGGTTTTCACTCAGGATGAAATAAGGGGGCAAAAAAGTTACAAAATACCTGCGTTTTCTAAAGGAGTTGGGGTAAATTATTCTTATCCTGGTTTGTCCGCTAATCTAACATGCTTTTCGTATGAACTATTTCTAAAACGAGGCAAGCTATTGACAAACAAGTTGATGAAACAAGAATATTAACTCTCGTTTGAAGACAACATTTCGCGAGTTTTGACGTTTTATTATACTGATTTTTAGACCAATTATTTATTCTCTGAATTGTCTCCAGATTTTTTCTCACTTTTTCATGACAAGGAACACGGAGCACACGGCGGGCGAGACTGGTCAGCTGCAGGGATTGCTCACACCTCTATGGCAGCTACACCTTATCCGATGTTTTGAGAGGGCCATGTTTGCTCTGCTCCTGATCTGCATTGTTTAAATGGACTTTGAGCTCGAATACTGTTCATTATCTCCATATTTCATTTTAACTAACAATTCTTATGCAATGCATGTGGTGCCTTGAATATGTGCAAAGAGATTTTGAAATTTTAATTTTACTTCAGTAACAAACGACTCAGTGAAGTTTTGCAAAGGATATGAATGGATAACCAAAGGTCAATGTAAAATTCAAATAAACAATTTTTAAACAGATTAATTTTTATTTATATATATAAACATCTACATGTAAAATACTGCCTCTTACCAACCAAACGATTAAGCATATTAGATATAAACACAACTGTTCATTTGATCGAAGCGGAATATCTGTATTTGATTACAACCATGATAATATGATGATCCAGGGATCTCCCTTACAGCTAGGCACGGTTTCTCTCTGTATTTCAAATTCTTCATAGCTGTTCATTCTTATGCAAAATGTCATTCGGGCAATCAAAATGACAGACAAACCAAAATCGTTATATTATTATAGGATGAACAAACCTCGCCATCAATTTTGTCTGAACGCGATGCGGATCGGAAGGACACACTAAAACACGCCACACTTGGACAATTGGTGGAAGTTTTGATGTATTAATGATTGCTAACCCATGTATCGACATGCACTTTATCAAAGCTGCTCCAATTGTCCTCCGAGACACCATATGGTGCTAAACAAACCGGTATCGTGGATAGACCAGGATACAGCTTCCAGTTGGCGCAGTCTTCATTTGTTGCTTTTCTTAAAGGTGAGTGTTTATTTGTTTACCTTTCAAAATTGAATTTTAACAAAAAAATGTTCTTTGTTTTCAGTGTTGTATTAAGATCAATGCTTTTGTCCATTATTCTTTAAAGGTGTTGGTTGGTCAAATTTTATAATGCTCCTGGTAGCAAGAAAAAGCTGCAATCAATAAAATATAAATTTGAAGAAAAAAACATTGAATTTATGATTATATCAATACCAAAGACTGCATTTTTCTTCTCAGTCTGTACACGCTATCTCAAGAATATATTGAAACCGTATTCACAAGCTAGACTATGGTTTGTCTGGTGTTCTATAGAAAGTCCCCCCCCATTGTACAAAATTTCCGTGATGAAAATTTACCGAATAGCTTGATGTTGGACATATATGAAATATTTGCTGAAGATAAAAACCCTTTTCCGAATATTGCAAATCTTCCCCTAGAAAATGAATGCTATATAGCAAATCTATCCCCTAGCTCTTTCCCTTCATAACAGGATTTCGATCCTCCGTAGGGGAAATTTAGCTACCTAGCAATTTCTTCCGAAGGGTTCTATGTTATGGGGGATGTTTCACTTTATATAAAATCATGATTCCAACTAAACTGAACTATTGTTGCAATGCATAATGCATCTTACAGCAAAGAAATCAATGTTTGTACACTAGTCAAAAATAAGTGTTCTATATTTAGGTGTTCTATATTTAGGTGTCATAGTACATAATTATACAGATCAGGATGTCCTTGAACGTATCAAAGAAACCTCATGACCTTTTGATAAGTTGAAGGTCATCAAATTTCTTCTATATTTTGACCTCTTGACATTCTTCCTACATTTGGTTTGAGGCGAGACTGAGAGAAGATGCCCCATTAACAGTAATTCGTGTTTTCAAACTTTTCTCAAATGAGAAATAGTAAATCTCTTTTGATCAATAATCGGAAAGCCTTGTCTACTCTCATTTATTTTCCCGGACCATTTGGCCACACTGACATCGATGATCTAAGCATGTATATTGGCTTCTTAATCCGTTTAAATATGCAATTGTATCAATAAAATATTCATGACATTCATGCTCCAGAAACCACTATTTGGCGGTAACCATTTCACATCGTCCCCCGCTGAATTGAGTCGAATAAAAGCTCTCAAGAATAATATAATTATCTGGGCTTGAACTCTCTCTATGGTTGACGACATGTATCTATATTTTCTCACTTTTACGAGACTAATAAACCATTGGCTTACGTGAAAAAATGAAAAGAAGTATGAAAGATATTTTTGGTGACGGAACCTACTTTATGATGTTAAATTTGACGATTGCCACACAAAACGTAAGTGTTTGGTTTAGAACTCTTTAAGAAATGTACATGAGTACATGTACATATAAAAACCATAAACTTGCTTAGATGAGAGTGTTTTTTAATCTATTTATAACATTATGATTAAATCACTATCTGAATTACCTATATACAGTGTACTTTAAGGTTTGAGTTTTTTTTGTTCTTTTATTTTTGGCAATGAGTATTCTGTAATTTAATAATCAATGTCAAATGATTCATATTGGACTTATTTTTGGACATATTATATATTTATTTGGGGCTACAGTGTACTTGGTAATGTTTTCAAAAATACACGCTAAGAGACACCCTCGCGACAAAACACACATTACAGAAACCTTGGCACCGACGATATAAAAAAAGATATATTTCATTTATCATCCCTATACGGCATCTGCTTACTTGAATGGTAATTAGTAGACAAAATTTTACAGTAAGCCTGAATGATGTCCTTATCTGAGATCGGTACATGATTGATGATGGAGGAAAAACGAGGATAATTTCGTGATTTCATGCTATTTGCCACGACAATTATTCTGTGTATAACGAGACCATATATATAGACTCCAATTTGGAAAATTTGTGTCAGTTTCTCTCATCAATTCACATTCAACGGGGAAAACTCCTTTTTTGCAGTTTAAATCTGGTTCTTTTTATAGAGTTATCCCGCAAGGTTCCTACCATTTTGATAAGGCTGGGAACAAGGACTAAAATACCGTATATTGGTCGATTTTTACTTGAAGATTCTCAATTAAAATAAATATTATTGAAAAATTATATATGCAAAATTTGGACTCCACTTGGTGCAGGTCTAATGAGCAGAACTTTTGAAGACTTTCTGTTTTGCACATTTCATGATCTGTAAATCAAAAAAGATATGTACTCGACATGACAGTATCATAAGTCAACAAGTTATGACAAGTGCAATATTATTATTCATCACATTTATTTATATTTCTTAAAGCTAGGAGCAGCTAGATGAAGAATACAATCAAATAATGAATCGATTCCCGGTTTAAAATTCATGCATCCGTGTTTCACCACATATATCAAAATGTGTAAACTGAACCACACTTTTCCGTATTCATTTTTCAAGGTCTGTGAATGGGATGTGAAATATTGCCGTAATCGGGCTATATTTCTTCAGGACATTTATAATTTTTCATGTCCGTCGTATGGTTACTGAGAGGGGATCATGGGCTGTCTCATTTGTATATACATGTATTTGTCAATAACTGGATGTCTTGGGTATAGATCACGTGATATATTTGGGATAGTTGACCTTGAGAGTTGAATGTAAATGGTGGACCAAATTGCAACGAGAGGCATAGTGTACTAGAATATGATGTTTTGAGTTTATTCTAAATTTTATTTTACACAGAAAATGCCCCACTTCTGTACTTTTCCCCATTATCAAGTGAGTAACCTTTTTGTTAAGCTTGAACTTTTTTCTTTTTTCTCAATGTATTAGGACAAATCGTGTTTCCCCAAGCTGTGTTTTGGAGTGTACTTTAAAACAAGTCTTTAAAGTCTATGAAACTAGAAACATTTATTAACAGTTCAAACAGGTTGATGTTAAACTTTTAATTGATATATATAATTTATATTATGGTATTATAAATTACTATGAGTATGTTCATGTACTGTTGATTTACCAAGAATGGACCGGAAGTCTTTGGTGACGTTCCATTAGTGCGACCTTAATGCATTCTTATGCTACAAGATTCTCTCCTTATTATTAACCGTTATATGACTTTTCACTATGTAGTTACTTCCTTAGTAGTTTCACTTCTCACTATATTTGAAAGCATTTTAATATAATAATTGTGAGTCATTGCTCTCTGTCCACCTGACCACCAATAGGGTGGCCGACCAATGCCTACAGTCTTTTCTTCACCTGACAGCCTTAAGAAGGTTGTATGATCGAGAAATTTACCCACAGTTTTACCTTAAAAAATGGAATATAATTTTCTTGCAAAAAACCACTTTTAGAAAAGGAAAACTTATATGTTTAAGCTACATTTAATGCAATTTCATAAATTATTATATAAATTATATTTTAATAAAGTCTATGAAATCCTGCCCGATTTCATTTTGTAAAATAAAATGAGGTTAACTCAATGTGTTGCATCAAACACGCTGGAATTCTTACAAGAAAGCTGCATAGAACATTTACGTTAATCAAACTTTCACTACTCCTTAGAGGCTTTGTTATAGTAAACTTTCTGAACATCAAGGTTTGCTCCTATTCTTTGAATGCCAGCCTTAAGAATAGGAACAACATAAAAATGAAAACATCATGAAAAATGAGAATTCGATTACCGCTAAACATTACTGCATATTTTTCATTATCTTTGCACATTTTGAAGTCATTCTGCGAATTGAACACACCAATTACTACAATATATATTTGCCTCTTCATGTTGTTTATATTATATAGACTTTCACTCTGTAAATAAATTAGTAAGTAATATTTCCCTATAATAAATAAATATGCAATGTATTCATTACTCTAATGACTTTGATCTGCCAGTTGCTTTGTAATCCCTTTACATGTTCAATATTTATTACAGCTATATTAAAGTATGTAAATTGCAACCAAAAGAACTCAAACATTTTTTTTAATTCCAAAGTTTCAATGTGCGCAGATTCCTCATCATATAGATTTACGTACAGACCGATATGGTCGATTATTGATGTGGAGCAACGAACAGAAATCAAATAATTAGTTAATTGGTTTTGTACTACTGGATTGCACTTAAGTTCGGCGTGGTGGCAAATGAAGGAATCTTGTTTCGACACTTGGTTAATATATCGTAGTCTCTTGTTACAAATTTTAGTGTGGGTGAAAACTTGTGTCATTAAGTTGAAACAGGTTATCTTATACATTAGGCCTCTTGAAATGTGATGGTACGATTGTTTTCTACATGCACTTCGGAAACTTTACCATTTTTCACGGAGGAAAATATTTTTTCCAGAATTCGTATTGACATACAAACTAAATTACACTTAAAATATTTTGTATAAATGATAGCATTAATTCATTCCTATATGTGGTTCTATGTAAAGAATTCGTAAATGTCCATTATTTCTTCCATAACCCCTTTCATTTTTTAACCATCTTTCTCTGACGTTTCGCTTCTGGCTTTCGGAACACATGGTATCTCTACAATATAACTAATCCCTTGCCACATCCCAATAGAATCCATTGTAGCTCTGCTTAATTTTACGCTATACATGTATTATGAGGGATTATGAACACTATCTATGTGACCCTGTCCTTTGGAACATTGTAAAAGGAGAAAAGTACCCGGAATTCTGTTTGGTTTGAAGGCTCCTGTCACGCGGTAGTGAATCGCTAATATTGCTATTCTTAGAACCCCACCGCAATTTACCTGACTAGTAGTATAGTACAGTTCCCGACATCTCGTCGAATCAAAACATTGTCACTGGTTGCCAGATTCTGCCGCGCGGCCATGAAGATGGACTCATAACTTCTTATACTTTGTACGGAAAAAAGTGCCCACGTTTTTGTCGCAGGAAACTCTTCTGCCATAGAGCAACACAAGTAGGTATTAGTTTTAAGCTTCATACATTTGTTTCTTTTGGAAAGATTTAAGATATGGAATTTCCGGTGGGCGAACCTGCTTGCTTGCTTCTTTGAAATTTATTAATCGTCCGTCTCTCTGTTCTTTGGTTTTTCTGTGTTTTACATGCAATATTTTTTTTAGCTCGAGGGACAGAAACTCGCGTTAGAACTGAGATATGTAAATCAAACCATATGTTATTACTTATGTGTTAGCTCTTTTATGTAAAGGGGATGTTGAATAACAATTATTGACATGTGTGTTGTCTTGTTCTCAACAAGGATTACTATTTCTTCCAGTATGACTATGGTCAAAATAACACCATATATTGTCTTTCATAACAATATATCGGATTAACTTTATTTTTGCCGTAAATTCAAGATATTGCACAAATCCATAAGCTGCATGTGGCCATGATTATTTTAAGCTTGTACATAATTACTCTTTTTATCCTCTTCCTGAACAAAATATATTCAAAGAGATATTTTCGCTGTATCTGATAGCCATTTGCATAATAAAGATGTAACTGATTAAACCATCACACTTAAGCAAGTAAACGGCTTTGATGCACATGAAATACTTTGTGAGTATGAGATCATCGACCCGGCAAGGAAAAGGATAGATGATGCAGACAATTGCAGTTGACCGCCTTATATTTATATGTAGATGAGGTTTGCTTTGGCATTCCTCATTGACATTGGTGAGCTTTCTCCCCCGCAGTGTAATATAAACGCCATGTTGTTTTTGTTGCCCAGTCTTTTACGAACTTCCACAACCCGCCCCAAAATAATGAACTGTACATGTAGGTTTGATCATAGAACATATTTCTGTTCTTTCTACTAAGTCAGAGAGAATAATATATACCTAGTATTACTAGTTTTTAGATAATTGTTGCGGAAGTTTTATCTCAGTTGGCACTGATTTATTTTCATACATTTCAAATTATTACTTTTGTTTTTGCAACGTCAAGGCACTTTATAGCGCTCACATTTTATTTTCTAGTACTATGTAACCCTTTTGTTACTTAAGGTCTAGTTTTTGGTCTGTCTTGGTTCGATTTGATGTGTATTGGGTTATAGCAATACGTCATGTGTGTTCCTGTTGTCTCGGGTGTGTTCAGTTATACATTCGTCTTGGAGTGACAATGCAATCAGTAGCTCGTAATTGTCGAATTTGTTTCCGTCACAGTGTTTTGTTATCTTTGGTATGCCTCCTGATAAAGCTTGGGATACGTATATAAGATACAGAGAAGATATAGTAACAGCTAGGCCTTGTTTTAATTAAGATCCTTCAAGGTTCTTTTCTTGAGCCCACTTGGTAGTATGTATTTTTATCTTGCTAATATTGCTATTTTTCTCGACCTAAAAGCCGATAGAACTGACAAAATTAATAAAAATTCATTCATTTTTTTTTGTTTCAACAATTTTCATACTATATTTTAACAACACACAGCTATGCTCTAAAACATTGTTCAAATGGTTTGTTTTATGGCAACGGAAATAACGAGAATTCCTTAATGACAAATTACAACGCTTTGTCTAAATACACTTGCTCCTTATTACTGGCAGCGAGTACGTCTTTCAAGTTGACTTTTTGTTGGAACATCCATTTGCCTTAGATGAAAGAACCGTTTCCAAGCACAAAGAAACTCAATTCTGACAGATTGAAATGAGCTGCTAGATTTACTTTATTTTTACATTTTAGATTTTCATCGTATGAAACTTCAAAGATCGCTATCCTGTTTCGTCGTAGTTATGCTGTAATTTTCATCAAACGACTATGTTTTTCAATTTAAATTGGTTTCCTTTTTCATGAATGCATATCAACGTTTAAAAATTATTGACTCCCAAACAGTGCGGAGGTTTCCTGTCAAAGTACATCTGTTTACAGGCTATACCTATTTCGAGTTTTCTGACAGAAGCAGTTTGGCCCCACGTAGGAGAGGCAGATTTCTAAATTATTAAGTAATATTGCTTGATATCAGATTTGTTTTGGGTATATTTTGTGGCTGGTAGGAGCGCTGTGTACAGTTAATTCTTGATAAGGAGAAATCCCTTGTCCACTGATCACGAGATTATCAAGCCAGGGAAAGGCTTCATTTGGTTCCGTAGGCAAAGAAATGTAATCACCTCAAAATCAGTGGTTCATGACAAGTATACCGAAGTTCACGATAAATTGACCGATGCATGTAAAAATATAACAGTTCATTCATATCCCATTGCTCTAGTTGTGGGAGAGTCAATTTCGTTTCCACGGAGAACATTCTCAAATTCAGTAGATGGGCACGATAAAAATTGTTTTAACCAATATTGCATTTTGGTGGAATTAAACTGATATTGACTTTTATTTAACACACCCAGTATGGCGAAATTCCCCGGAGGACTAAGTGTAAATTAAATCCATGGCTTTTTAGATATGTACTACATCAGTATATACTTATATCAAATGATCTAGCTGTTTTGGGGAATTTTTTTTTTCAATCTCTTAATTTGTGCATTGCACTGTTGACTACGAAATATCTTCAGTTACTACAAGGAGCAAACTGCCCTGGTTAGCGTTTTGGCAAATGTCGACACCTTTAATCATAGTAGGCTTGTTGGAAATGATATCAGCAAAAATGTAATTATGACAAGCTATAACCAACTGATGTGTGCCGATACAAATGGTAGAATGCCTTTATTAATGACATAGTTCTTTGCTACCTCTCGCGTACGTTATGTAAGCGAGTGTGTTCCACCCATGTTTTTACTCGAGCAATCGCGCGCTGTAGCAAACGAAAACCTCAATGTTGGTGCAAATGACGCGCATCGGCAGATGTACTTCATTACAGAAGCTAAATCAATCATCTCAAAAAATTGATGAGACATGGAAGAATTTAGTATAGCTCTTCGTCAGTTCGGAATGACACATCTATTCGTAATAACGGCTAGAGAAAATGTACTTACTATTAGACCTGTACCTACAAGACGATTTTGGAGCGACTTGCCAGGTCAAGGACACGAGACCTTGAAGCAAGTTCTTAATTAGTTCAATTTTTCCTTCCCAGCACTCTTCATTGTTTCAATACTAATTATAAAGCTCTTCGACTGTTAGACAGCCATTAATTAAGAGCAAGAACCTCTTGCTAACAAGACCCCTCAATAACCTGTCATTTGTCAAGAAACATTTTATAGTTGAGCAGTTATGACTTCAATAACTTCTACAAAGGAAAATTAAGAACATCGTTAATCAAACTCTCTCTAAAGAAGTCAAAATCGATCAAATCTAAGGAAAATCAATTTCAAATGAAATCTTTAATTGGCCAAAATGATGGAACTAGAGAATAAGACAAATGCTTTCAGAAAGAATAACGTCATTATTATCTTGAGTGTTCATTTGTCCAGAACCGCAAAAACCATATTGTTTCAGTATACTGAAGTGTAATGCAAAGAGGCCTACCCAGGGACAACTGTTTGCTGTCAAATAATGACGATGGATTCTCATGTGTAATATTCTTGGAATTGGGCAGTGGTCTGATACATATTGCCGAGCATTTTATGCACACAGTATTGGCTTTCCAGCAAAAATATTGTGAATTTGTAGATATATCATATTAATAAATTGTTGTAATTTGCTTCAGGGCCAATGTTGATAGGATTTGGTACTATTTTATGAGAACTCTTATCCCAAATGTATAAACATGCTCAATTACGGAAATATTCACTTGGTTTGACCACGTTGTTAATCTTATTGTATGTACATAAAGTCTCTAAATGGTCAGACAAAACGTTCAGAAGGTACAGGGTACATCTCTTTAACAAATGTTTATTAGTGTTATCAGTCAGCCAGTGATAAATCTGAATTGGCCATTAAGGTCAGACGACACGTTCCTCAAAAATTTATAATTTTTCCTAAGAATTTGTCATTGAAGTAAAGGTATTCAAACAAGTATCCTCACAAAAAATCAGGGTACCTTACCAGGCATTTGGACAAGATACTGCACGTTCATATTTCTTATATAACCCTTATGGGTAATCTTATGAATGGCCTATATCACAATTTTTGGTGTACTTATATTTAAAAACATTTTGAAAAAATGTAGAAATCAGAAGAAAATGACAAATATGAATAATTTTTGATATAATATAAAGAGATACAAAAGATAAATTTGAGGAACGTGTCGTCTGACCTTAAGTTTCATATGGATTTTAGATTTTGAGATGTCGAAGAACCTTTTCGTTTTCTTTTACAAAGTAGTCAAAACAAATCTCAATTTTTCAAAGGTAGAACATGCTTATGGGTTAACTATATGTACTATCTTATCATTAGAAACTCATCTGTCACTCATCACAAGCTGTACATGAAATAATATAATATGTCCAACATCTAGCATTGGTATACAATAACAACAAAAATTTCAGATTCCAACATTGAGAATTGCCAAGAAAATCAGTCTCTAAAAACATTGTAGCAATTGGTAACATATATCGTATACGGGGATTGATCCAAAAATTCGTTAAACTTCTTCATATTTTGTAATTTTCTCCACATGCATTTACTTGTAATTCATACATAGACGAAATTGAAAATAATTATTTTTGATTAGAATATAATTATATATAAATACGAATTTTACATTTAGAAATGCATATCTAGTTGCAAGGGTTTACTTACATTAGCAATATCACTAAATCAGGGGGTCGAATACCGATTTTAGTGGCCATTAATCTTGCATTGTGTCACTTAATGGTTAAAAATGGAATCTGATAAGCAAAGTGTCCGTTCCGCCAAAACTGCCAAAGAGCTTGCAGGAATTCAAACCAGAGATTGGTCAGTCAGCCGTTCGACTAATAATAGATGGAAACTATTTATTTTCTGACAATAAGCAAAAAAAAGCCATAATCTTGAAAATAAAACAAAATGGATGTGATGAGCTCAGAAACAAGATATCACCGCTTGCTTTCCTTTTCCTCAGTTTAACATATTGACTGGATTTTATAGAGAATTATAATTACAATTTACTTGAAAGTTAGTCTCGACCACTGCAAAAGAAGGGTTCATTGAACGTAGTCGGTCAATTTTTTTCCTGTGGTGGTTTCTTGTTTTATAATAAGGTTCCGAAGATTGTTCTCGGCATGTCCGAAATTAACTTCAAAGATTGTGATAGCAACTAAGGGCATTTTTATTGGACAAGTTGTGAATTGAAGCGGGTGTCTCATAAACAATTGTTTGTTAAATTCTTAAAGAAATTTATGCTCATGAAGAAGTTTTTTGAGAAAAATATCAATTTAAATTAAAATACAAGCGATGCCCGATGCCACCATGTCTCGTTGAGATTACAGTCCGTTTGAATAGTGCAAAATGTCTTTGACTTGTTCCTTAGATAGCCTTTATAGGTTCAAGATAAATTAATCATTTTTCAATATTTTACCTCCTTTTTTCTTGGCATACTTCTCGATAAATTCAACCTCCGCATATTGAAACTTCAAAACTGTTCAGAAGTGTTGTATGTTCCAAAGAAAGATTATATTAACGTGGTTTTTCTTAAAGCTGTTTATCACAAAAAGTCAAAGTATGTCATTGAACAAGGTTTAACACGTTTAACAAAAAGATATATATCTGTGCATCATTTCACAAGTTTGAAGATGTAGTAATTTGTCCATAGTCATTCCAAAAAATTCTGATTTTCAGCCTAGCATAGTGGGGATATTGAGAAAGTTGCACATAATTTTAAAAGTTTAAGATGTACTAGCTCATACTTTTTGCTATAACCATTTCAATCTTCTTTTTAAAAAAAAAAAGCTTTGAAACTCTACTATGGAGCCTTGTTTGATGTGAAAAAAAGATTTCATTATATATTTCTAATACTGCTCATCTATTATGAACCGGGTTTTGCTACATACCAACATGGTTGGTGTGTATTTTCCCAAATATGCTCACGTCCAACAATTACATCAAAACATATTATCAATAATGTTCAATGTTTATCTCGGTCATTTAGTTCTATGCATTATTAATATTACGTGTAATTAACTCTTACTTTCCACAGGTTGTTACACCCGTATGTAATGGACCACGATTGCTGGCTAAAGCCATTTGACGCCGACTCTGGAACCAGCAATGTTTTCTTCACCATTCCAACCTTTATTTCCTGTTATTTGTTTTAACCCTCACCTTGAAGTGATCCGAGCACCCTACCCCAAGGACGTATGCATGAAACTAGGTGAGTATAAAATTATAAATGAACAATCCAAGTTTTAATTTGATACAAGAGAAACTTGAGTCACGGCGTAAGGAGTTGATCCTTACTTCGCGGGTTCGAATCCGCTGCTGGACATGGAGACGGTACTTCGATGAGACCGTATAAACCGTGGTCCTGTGTGTCTTCATATCTTCTCTAGAGCATGCAGAGGGAGGTTAAACAACAAACAAACGAGTAATTTAATATGCATCCCGAAATTAAAAAGTCGTTGTGAGAGATATATTGGTGTAAATGTAACAAAATAAGGATCATATCGTGCCCAAAAGAAGACCTTGTGATTTTTTATGTTGTAATTCTACATTATATAGACCTGTACTTGACGAGGAAAGTGTGTGTTAAAATATCTCCATCATCGAAGTGTATTAAGACTCGGTGTTGGAGGATTTTAGTTAAGATCATCGTAAGATCATGATGTTTAAAGTTCATAAAGGTGGGAGGTTAATCCGTTCTAACTTAATCAAAGAGGATTTAGAAAAATTTTAAGTGCACATTTTTTTCATTCTTAAAAATAAAATTTTATAGTTCGGATGTACTATTTTGATATGAAAAATGTGTTTTAGAATTCATTGCTTTCCGTTCAGAACATCCAAAAATATTCTTTTTATGTATCATAAATTTTTGTTTATGACAGACCCGAGAACGCTTATTATCGACAAGAATTAAACTAATTTCATAAATTATTTCTGTAAGCTTTAACAGATGCCGTTTCTGAAGAGCCATCCTTTACCATTGAGAGTTCTGCGGTTGCATAATATTCATTATATTTACACATTTTTCCAGATTTCTTCGATATGCGCTAATTCATATATACCAAGTACAAGGTTATTGAATATTTGTTAACCAAGTTTTTTTTTTAAAGTTTCATTTGTTTTGGTTAAGTTTCTGTGGGGGTGATTCATCCTTAAGTTTGTAAATATCATACGACTTTCCCTTTTAATCCATTTGAGAATTGTTTGAGAGGGAAAATAACATACTAAAGAATTGTGACGCCAGTTTAATGTATTTTCAATTGTTGTAGTTTCGCATGTATTCAATGTGATTACCATTCAAGCCCGTGTGGTCAAACTTATTTACCATTTGGCTTGGCATCATTCATAAATAAAAAAAAAAATATAACAACATTCTCAAATGTCTGTTCGACAATTTACTACTTAAAACACTTGATGCTTTGTAGATAACCATTTTTTCCTTGGGAGTATTTTATCCCAATATCTTTGAAAATTACACCACTGTTTTAAATCAAAGCGTGGAATGAAATAAAAATAGATACTATATTTTTATATCTATTTTTGATTAGGAATTCGTCCAACATTTATTTTAGCATTATACTTTTCCGGAATTTTTTTTAATTGACTAACCCATTCTACGACCACCTTCTTGGAACCGAAACGAATGCTATCTTTTAGCAGTCAGAGGGAAGCACAGATTAGCACTAGATCAAAGAAACCTCTCTTGTTTATGTTTTCTTCTGTTGTTCTCTTATAAGACTATACGAGTAGTAGGAGTAACTAGCCACTCGTTCCAATCTAATCTGACAAATAGCGCAAAAACACTACACAAACTGCGTATTCTTAGATTTTAAAGTCTACAAATTCTGGGCTGTTTTTGTAGTTAAGATAACGTTGTTCTTGATTTGATAAGTGACGGGGATAGAGAATTTGGTAGTATTTTGAGAAGAGATTGAAGTGCTTTATCTTCTCTTTATTGCTTGTTATTCGAAACTGATAAATCAATCATCGAATGATGGTATATAGCCGTTTGTAAATATTTACACATAGGGATTAGCTGTTGTACAAAACGGTTGTATAAACGAATGTCCTGTTCTGTAAATTTAGGAGAAAATATGTATTTGTATTAATTGTTAATTCTGTTGTAAGCCCATGGGAAAATGTAACATGAATTAAGTCTCATATTTTTTCTTCAAGATATGAATACCTGAAAAATACTATAATTTTGAAATGTTAAAACATTGCGTCACTCAAAACTATCACCTCTCCTGAGTCCTGAAAGAATTTTTCCAGCAATGGCGCTGTATAAAGTCTAAAGAGTGAAATTTGTACTAGCATCTGTAGCTAATAACGAGTTAACAGTTGATCAAAGGCTTACCGACTGTTTTCTTGTCATATAAATCCGTATGGTGACCTATGCTCTTTTGCCAGTGGGGGAAAAATATGTTACTTTGTTAATGAATTCGTCCTTGAACTCCCCTTAATCCCAATCTGTTACCATCCGGGAACTTTCTGCATCCTATTGTACATCCGGAATAAGACTTGATGCGTTTTTCTGTCTTTCTTTTTTATGGAAGAACATGAGTGTGCTTTGTCTGTTTGAGCATTTTCAAGGTCTTCAATTTGCTTCCTTCAACTATAGGGAAAAGAGTACCAATTAATTTCCCATAGAACTCTATACAAACCTTTTGCCCTCCAAGTAATTTACTAATTCCCGTTCATACAAATCACTGGTATTATTTGAAAGTTCGTTCTAAGCACTTATTAAAAACACGAAAAAAAATATACCGTTCCGCGGCGTTTATAGGTCAAATTTGCAGTTATTTAGAACTTACAGAGATCGGCAGTAAATGACACCCTGCCAAAAATATCAATCCCCACTCCTACAATCTCCCCTGGTATTTCTAGAATTTTTGTAATATTCCCACATTCCATCATTTATTTCAAACATTAATATTTTTACTTTAAAATGAAAATATTTACATACCTCAATTCAGCCAATCAGGTAAAGCCTACCCATTTATTACTCTGCTTCATCTTGTTCAACCAGGAAATGATGTCAAAATCTGGGTCTTTGGTGCTCTTTTTCCTATACTTACATATTTACCTATCCCAGAATTAGTCAATTTTGTAATTTTCAAAGACCTTATACTTACCAATATACATGTATGAAATTTGAGGCCTGTCACTTCAGTGTCTTGGAATCTGTGGCCATCCTAATGAATGTCCCCTCCCTGCTGCAGGTGCTTTTCCAAAGAGTGAAAAACTTTCATTCCTGTGATGAAATCTGGATACAGTTGTCACTGTAATGAATAAAATATTTATAAAATAACATGATTTTGTTTTTTGATGTTAATAAAATGATATAAAGTCATAATTGTGTCAATTTTTTCATAGGGGTGGAATCTACCCAGAATAAAGAAAAAAGGTCCAAAATTTGATAAATCATAATTAATTAAGCAAAATTAAAAGGTTTTAAAAAGACTGATATAGAAATTTTCTTATGCTTATGAAAAGTAAATTGTTTGAGACTCTGATATACTAAATGATTCTTATCTAACCCCTCCTGTTGCTTAAGTATATACAAAAAAGTTTCCCCACCCCCCAGTGAAAGACATTTAGAGAAATAGCAGGTGCCCCCTATTATATTTGTTTACAATTAATTCAGACAAGAGAAAATTAATACTTTTGATAACAAATCAAAGTGCAGTGTCTGATAGTCTTATACAGTACAACCATAATCTACATTATTGAATTTCATGCTTTAAAAAGGGGAATTCAGATTAATTTGTAAAAAATTAAGAAATGCAATAATTGACTTAAAACCCCAAAATGTACACCACAATAAGAGGCTGAAAAGTTAATAAATGAAAAATTTACCTGCAATGTACAGAAATCTGTCCGACAAAATATATCGGGTGGGTAGCGAGTCTCCATCTTCTTCTTATATAGAGAAAATGCCCCCCGCCGATCAGATACCAAGCTCTCCCGGGTCCAGGAAGCTGAAATATGAAAGTCCTCTATAGTCTTTAAATGAAAATAAATCAATAAAGTTAGTCAAATTAAGCATAAATCATAAAGAAAACAGCAATATTTTTCAAGTTTTCTGAAAAATTACCAAATTACATATCTTCTACATGGCCGAATGTTTAAAAAATGGATCCGTCAAGGGTGGAATACATGTTTTACAATTTTACATGTAATTACATGTAAATATTAGAAAAGTCAAATGTGATACATGCAGTAATGCCATTCCAATAATTCAAGAAAACAAAATCAGAAGCCTAAGGTCACAATAATTAAGATTATATCATGTTGAAATTCTACATATTTGGTTAGCTAGTCTAAGGGAAGTAACTCTAAGTACAAAAACTGGAAAACAGTAGAAAATGAGTTGCAGAGAGTCACCCTGATGGAACTACAAAGAGCAAAAAGAGGGAAAACACATACCTTTGTGTAGCTACAATACAGAAACAACCAAACTACAAACTGATCCCCCCGCAGTCAAAGGGAGGCAATCCAGAGGATCACATACACTACCGACATGATACGTCAAGACAGAAAATGACCTCCTTTCACATGAATACCACGAAACGCTCTTTTAAGGGCCGAATAAATTATTCGAAAAGATACCAAACGTGCAGACGTATAAGAAACTAAACAAAAATTAACACCAGGCCACCATCCTACACTTCCAAAAGTACACATATATAGCAAATCATATAAATACACAATTACATGTACATGTAAAATACATACATAAATTTATGAATACATACATGATACATTTTCTTAACTTACCTTTCTCCTATGGCCAAGTCAACTACACATTGTTTTACCAATTTCCATCCTCTGTAACCCCCCCCCCCCCCCAAATCTCTAAAATAGACCCAAAATCACCTCTAACCCTAATTCTACAAATAAATAATTCAAATTTTTGCTAATTTCTCTCTCGAAATGTCTTCAATATTCAAATAAATTGCTAAAAATAACTTTTCATGACTTTCACTTCACTTTACTTATTAAAAAATGGGGTCTCTATAGGGAAAAGAGTACCAATTAATTTCCCATAGAACTCTATACAAACCTTTTGCCCTCCAAGTAATTTACTAATTCCCGTTCATACAAATCACTGGTATTATTTGAAAGTTCGTTCTAAGCACTTATTAAAAACACGAAAAAAAATATACCGTTCCGCGGCGTTTATAGGTCAAATTTGCAGTTATTTAGAAC